TGAGGACGAAGATGAATGTTTGATATAAACGGGACGAATGCTAATGAGACGGTGGCTGATATGCCTATGGAGACATTAGCAGAAGAAAGTGAAGTTCGAGGCGAGGAGAAAAGCAATTCCCAGACGCGATTCTTTCCGCTCGACATGGGATCTTCCGTGAATCTGACCCGCACATCAATTTGATTCAGGATTATCCATCAGGAATGGATACAAATTACCAGGCTTTTTGGCAGGTGAACGCCAGTATTTCTACCTGGAGTTACTTCGTAATTGACAGCTCGTACTAGCGCGAGGTAGAGAGATGCTCTCTACCGCTCATGATATTCAGATACTACGTCAGTATGTGTTGGAGCGCGCTGATATCGGAAAAGAACATAGTGGGTGCCGAATTGATTACGTATACTGGGGACTTGTTTTAACCTCTCTTCTCTTCTGTCAGATTTAAACCTGCCGATCAGCGAGTTGGGAGTGTTTGAGTCCCTCACGCTGCCATAAAGCCTTGAGCTGGCGAGTTGCAGGACAAAGGTCGCTGGCTTTGCATTCACTGGCTCGGTAACCTATACGTGCTGGAAAGTACTACCCGGGCGACAAGTGGTTGAAGAAGTTACCGTGAAGACCAACGCCAGAGCACCAGCCGCGATAACCTTTGATGAAAGTACGCTGAAAATCTGATCTGGTTTACGTACATTCTACGCCTGATCCGATCTTCTGCAGAATTGAGTCCAGTTCATTTGACTACAAGCGCTTAATTTTGTTAGTGCGCGAAACCATTGAGCAGCGTCCTGAGGGCCTGAACTATGCGTTCCAGTGAAGCGCTGCGATGACGTGGCGAATACCTTAATGAGATTAATCCGTGACGCTCCGGTTGGTGATGGGCATTTACCGGCAAGTGGACAGCAAGTGCATCCTTAAGGCAGGAATTCTACTTAAGGAACCTGTTGTTTGCTATTTACGTGCTTATGTGGTGGGATCTGGATGGCACTATAAAAGCTCTACAGTCTTACACTGAAAGAGACATGACTGATGCCGCTTTTCTTTTCACAAATGTAATGTTATTCACACTAAATGGCAATAAGAATGTATCATCATGCATGTGAATCTGTTTGAAAAATGTTACAGCACATAGAGCAGCAGCAAACACTTAGTTTGAAGCTTTCAAGGTGATCCTCAATTTGGAGAACTCATGTAAAGGGAGCCAGATCCAGACAGTGTTGATAAAATGAACTATTATGGGTCGTAAGCCAGATAAGTTTATGCCTTTCAAGATGCCTTGTGCATTTGACACAATCATAAATTTCGTAATGCCAATCTTGGCATTGATTTTGTGGACCTAATCGTTTGAAGATCTCCGCATATGAATCAAACTTAGGGCACTACAGGCCACTGCTAATACACAGTTGCCTTGTGGCTGTGACTCATTTGCCATGATGCCTGAGGAGGCTCAGCCCTACGTCTATTCCACGATGAAGGCGGGGCCACCGACCCAATTGACTTCCGAGAAATTGCAGTGACGAGAACAAAAACCATCCATTTACGGCCGAAGAGGCAGAAAATGTATTATGACGCCATGATTGAAGAAAATGGGTGCGCTCAATCAGAGGAACTGCCAGTAAGTACCTGAGATTTAACTAACGAGTTGGGCTACCTGGTCCTATGCTTAAACATACTAAGGACCCTGAACAGCTAAAAATAAGAACTGGCTAAAAATTAGCGATCCATAAAAGTAGAAGGACTTGCAATGACACAGCATTTGAAGTATCAAGAAACTTATAACCACCACATTTCCAAGATGCAAGCTCAGACCAAGAGTACGAAGAGAAGACTGGCCTTTGAGGAACGCTAACAGCTGCCGCAAGGTGAGCCGACCGCTGAAAGTGGTAGTGACGCAGCATCGATGGCGAATGATTGGACTGGTGTATTTGATCCTGAGAAGAATGCCCAAGACATTATTGAGATGAAAAAGCTTCGACATGAAATTATTTTGTGTAAATGACCAACTTCTGCTGCGATATCTGCCGTGACGGCAAGAATGGATGTGTGTAACGTTACAGTCATCTTTACTTAATGGCTACCAGAAGGCACTGGTGGAAGAATGTAAGGGGCGAAAGGTCTTGCATGCAGGCACTGGGCAAATTTTTGGGTATGGAGGAGACTTGTGAGACGGCCACGGCACCGGTCCAGAAAAAACACACACGATCCACACCGAAAGCTATCCGACCTAGAAGCAAGCGTCCCACTGCGGCTGCTAGGTGACAAGACCACCTTTTCGACGTCTACCAGACGGCAGACGCATGGATCGAAGAAAGCAAGTGGGCGCTTTTGAGAAGCGGTCTAGGAAGCAGAAGTCGACGAAGCGAGTCTGTTCGCGTGGCAAAGGCTCTAGCAGCGTCAACGTCATGGCTAATTTCTTTGCTTCCTCTTGCGCGATCATCTGGGTCAAGGACGTCATCGTCGAGAGTGATGTCAGTACGCAACATTGGCGGTAGTTGCGACCTACGTTCCGAAGACAGCCCGCCACGCTTACAATGGGGTGTCAGGCAGCCGTGACTTGCCACGCCGTTGTAGGGCTGTTCCGGCTGCTGTCTTCATTGCGTATGTGTGAGTTGCGGGTGCCGCATGTTCTTCTCATCTCGGCTTTCTGCTGTCCAGAAAACGATGACTCAGATGCTGGATGTGATTGAGGTTAATGAGTCCTGTAAGTGGATGAGCAATGCGTCGGCAGGGAGTGAGGGACATCCTGTGGTATGATGTTCTTCTGTCAACAATGTCATTCTTGTGAAGATCACTGTCCAGGCTAGTTGACCCGGTCTGCTTCTGAGCCTGCGGCTGGATCTACAACCGCGGCGCGGCCGACTGCTGATGCAACATAGAGCTCTACCCGATCCTCGACTGAGGTTATAGCCCTCTCATCCGATGCTGCCCCAAGAGATACGGCTTCGTCGGCATTCTCTCGTAGACAACGGCGCTTCAGGATTAATGCCATAGCAGCTCAACGCCGTAGTCCTAATGCGCCCATGGATGACACCGTCGATAATACGAGTCAGCTTCCCCCAGATCAGATCAATGATCCGAGTGGGAACCGCGGTCCAGCTCGTACATGTGGTGGTCGTGGTCCACTGCCAACCTTCGACTATAGCATTGACGACGCCTTCGGTAAACGGGCCGATAGCTCCACCAGGCAATGTCGCACGTGGCGGCCAGCAACATCCGACAAGAACGAACAGGAAGATCTATTTCGTGCGGCTCGCGTGCGCACTGAAGCTGGGCGTTCAGCATATGCTAAACCTGAGGATCTGATCATCAGGCTCCTGTTGGTTTGATGGGGAAGCTAGGAGAACCAGAGCGAATCCGAATGATGTGGGAGCGTCGGGACTTTCATGGTGTGTTGGGGCTACCGGCGCGACGCCTCTGTCCAGCAGATCAGCCGCCAGTACCGTAAACCCTGCATAAGCTTTAATCCTGACAAAGCATCTGATGCTTGCGCCTCGCTGGAATCTACCGTCGCTGAAGCTGGACGAAACGCTTGAAGCAAGTACTCTCAGCAAGCGCGTGGATACCTTTGTTGCTGCCACGCACTCGGATAAAATTCTGCTTGGGGACGTTTTAGGCCAGCCATGCACGGGCTTAGGCAGGTTGAAGAAATACGAACGAGCTCGTTTTACCAAGCGAGGCCTTGTAGTCTCATTCAGTATTCAGCATCTCGGTGGATATGAATCGTTTCTTTCTCGGATGAGCTGCCGGTGATGAAGGAGGTCATTCCACACACGTGCGGCTTGTGCGCAGTGCAGACATGGCGGCTCGCTGAAAGCTACAGAAACGCGATCCCTTGGATGCAGAACATATTCGAGAGCTACGATGCGGTCGACCAAGACCGGACCAGGGGATTCCGGGCAAGTTTTTAGGCGAAAAATGACAAGGATGATACCTTCCAAACTAGCTGAGGACCTCGTGTTGGAACTAGACTCGAACAAGTTAACTAAAGGCCTCTAACTCGTTTTCTGCTGCAATATTGCAAGCTTACCTGTCTGTTTTATCCTTATCGCGTAATGTGTAAATTGTTCGCATGCTGCGCGCCATCTCCTCAACGTTGCTTGATTTTCCACAGTCAATCACCGTTGCTATTTTCAACTCGAACTCCCAATTGTGTCTGCAATGGGACGTCGCACGCAGACTTGGAATCATTCATGCCAGATTCGAATGGTGCCATCTTCTGAACCGTCAAGCAAATGAATTTCCTGACGGTGAGTATCGCAAATATCTCACTGGTCCATGATGTCCCTTGTATGCGTTCCTCAAGCAATTGTCCTGATTCAAAATCAAAAACTCTGTCAACCCACGTATCGGATCCACCTGCAACAAACTTGTTTTCAGTCGGATGCAATGATGCTCCTCCTTCCTCTGCAAAAATGATATCGGCATTGGAAAGGAACGCAGCAGTTCAAAATTCTTGTCCACATCATAGAAATACACCTATTACAAGAATAAAAAATAGCATCGGTGACTTGTCAACAAAGCAAAAAATAGTAAAAAAAATAACACAAACTCTGCTCTCTCAATGTTTCTTGCCTCTTTTCCAGCTGCAACCGTCAACACTTTTCCATCTCTTGAAGCTTCCATATCCATTACATCTGCATGCACTCCTGAAGTTGATAAATCTATCGATACGCGTTCAAATCCCAGACCGTAATTGTTCCATTTACTTCGCCGGTGACCGCCATATTCGCACTAAGTACGACAATTTTTCGAATGGGCTGAGCTGTTTCCATTTCCACCAATGGGAGCGGTGGTACCACCACGATTCCCGTCCGACCATCTGTTTTGTACGTTTCTAATTGGTCTTTAATCTGTCCCATCTCAAACACCCGCAGGACTTTTTCGTGTCCGCCAGTCAAGAGTCGCATTCCGTCCAGTGTAAACGTCACACTCTTGACCACGTGTTTGTGGTCCAATGTTGTCACAAGGTCGCCCGTAAGGGCGTCCCAAATTTTGACAGAAAAATCGGCACTGCCGGTCGGGCGCCAAAAGTTGCGTCCGGGTCTAATTTCGCACTCCAGACCGCCCCTTTATGTCCTTCAAATGTCCCAATCCAATCGCCCGATTCACCATGTCGTAGCATTGGGAGCTTGTCATGACAGGCAGAAATAAGTAAATTACTACGACTGTAATATACTTCCGTTAAAGGACGAGAATGACCGGGACAGACGACGGGAGAATTTGACCGTAAAGCCGACGAAGGTGAAGCCGATGGTGAAGTCATGGGGTGGGTGATAATAGTGAGGATGATCTTATGGAAGATTGGGGAAAGCTGATTGGGTAAAAATGAAGAAGAATACGAACATGAATTGAAAAGGGACTTTGTACCTTAAATTAGGATGCGTATCAGATGTGAAAGGATACAAAAGGAGGACTATTTCTTTTTGGGTAAAGTACGTGAAACAAATGTGATACATTGATTTTACTTGTTTAGGTAAAATATGTATGCAAAGGAGAACTATATTTATGTAGAATACATATTTGTGAAAATATAAAAAATATACAGCGAGCAGAAAAAATAGTACAAGTATACCAAGGCGTAAACTATACATATAGCATGTACGTATAGTAGACGCCGTGAAATATAAACAGAAACAAGGGTGTCTCCAAGACAAGAAATCGATTATTTGTGTATTGTCGAACGGTAAACAGGCACATGAAAAACCCAAATTCTTTTGCAGAGGCCATCATATAGAAGTCCGTCGTTTTTGTAGGGGATAATAGAAAGAAGGAATGATTTACGAGACTCTGTGTCATTTTTCACTACTTCACCATAGAGGGCATATTATCGTTGTGCGAGACGAACAACAAGTAGTCGTTTGATAAGGTGCTTGCTCGTATTCAAACTCGTAAAAGAACTACATGCTTGAGCCAACTTTAGCAAATATTTTGCAAATATTATGCAAATGATCAAATATTTGGCTTGGAATTACATATTTCTGTCATGCTATACATATCGACTATATGTAAATCAAATACGTAATGGTTTACTTATTTTTGATTCTAAAATATCTTAAAGTATAGTATACGCCTTGGTAAATACTCCCTTATTTTCTTTTTTATTTTCAGCATTATTTTGTATATAATTTATAATTTTATTCTTTTCAAATATCGTCATTTTTACACGAAATAATGGTATTATAAATAATGGAACAAGACCTTCGAGATGCTTACGCGGCACTAAAGCTACTACGTGCTGATCTGGTGAAGACGCGTCGTGACAAGCAGGTTCTTGAAGCTTCTCTTAGGCATGTACAGACGCACGGACTGCCACCAAGTGCTGCACACATTCGTGAGAGTCGTGAGACGCAATTGATGCAACAGGAAGATGCAAATTCCCCAATTATGGCGATTGGCAATTAAATTTAACAATAAATTATTGAAAATGGAGAAAATGAAAATGGACAATAATTGTCAAAAAAAGGACAATTTACACGACATTGGAGATAAACAGCACAAAAATGAAGACCAAATGGAGACACAGACACTTTATAAGAAGCTTCAGAGCTTGACAATCACTGTAGAAGAGCAGACAGAGACCATATCGACCCAACGAGCAGCTTTTTTGCTGCAGAAAAAAGAGCTAAAGACGATGTTAAAGGAGATGCAACAAATGTTGCACAAGGAGAAGAATAAAGTGCTGGATGCAGTGTTAGAACAACAACAAATCAAGGAAAAATACGAGCTCCTAGAAACTCAAGTGGATATGTTAAAAGAGAAAAAATCATACTTGGAAAAAGAGATGAAGGAGATGGAGATACAATTGGAGACTCAGGCACGGACAAGCAGTACTTTGACACAACAATTGAAGGAGAAAGAGGAGGACATATTGAAGTGGAAGCGTGAAGAAATGTTACAGTTTGATGAAAAGAGAAATGAGTTGATGGAAGAAGTAAATGTTCGATTGAGACGGGAGAAGGAAGTAAGGGAGAAGGAATTGTACGATACCTATGAGCAAAAGATGCTCGAATTGCAAGGGGAGAATGAACTTTTAAAGGTGGAATTGAATTGTGAGAAGGAGAAGAAGTTTCGAGATGAAGATGAGATACGAGAACGACACGAGAGAGCGTTGAATGAGCTGGAGCGAAACTGTGCCGAGCTGAAGGCACATATTGCAGACATGGAGTCCGAGCGAACTGCTGATGTGAAGAAGTACGAAGAAGCATTGAAAGAGGCCGAGGAGCAGCACGCAACGACGGTGAAGAGCCTGGAAGTGAAGTTGGTGGAAGTGCAGAAACAACTTGCAGCATCGAAGGCAAACCGATCAACAGAGAGACAGGAGTACGAGGAAAATCTTGCTGAAGTTTTGAAAAAGCTGCAGGATCAGCGAGAGGATCGAGACCAACATGTGTCGACGATACGTAGGTTGCAAAGTGACTTGGAAGTAGCGCAAACACAATTGGAGATGTCTAAAGCGGAATTGGCTAAGGAAGTAAAGAACAACCAGGAAAGGCTTAATGGTATGCTGCAACAATTGCGTGATCAGCAACATAATGAAGAGCGAAATGCGATGATTGTGCGCGACCTAGAAAGCAAGTTGTCAGAAGCTCAGTTGCAGTTTGGCGACAAAGAGACTAATCTTCTCGCACGACTGAACGAGTACGAGAAAAAGCTGATTAAAACATCACAAATTGCTGCACAGCATGAGGATACTACTCGAATGTTGGCTTTGAAGAACAAGACGCTTCAGCAGGAAACTTGTGAAGCTCGGCACACGTTGAAGCTCATGACTGAAGAATTACAGTCTCCCAATCGGTGTGCGAGGAGAAAACTCAGGAGCATATGCGGTGTATGAACCAGATTCAAGTGCAATGTGAGTCTCTTGAGACCCAGCTCTTATCAGCTGAAGATCAGAGGGAACCGTCTTATGCGACGAAGTCTGTCCATGATTCGTCTACGCTGGACGCATTCCATGGTCGTACAGATGACGAAATCACTGGCATGTCTCCATGGAGGTCTTGGGACTTGTTGCGTTCTGGGATCAAGGAGATAGATGGTTTCTTGCCGCAACTTCAGACGTTATTGGGTGCGATGAACGATGCGCTCATATTGTGCGATACTCACGCAGATGCACTTCCTGTATTGTGTGAGCGTCTTGAACGTGAAGCGGCGAGCGAGAAAGAGCAGCTACCAATTTTGACTACCGCGTTGCGCTTGCTGCGTTTTGCGGGAATGTTGAAGGCTCGAACGCAAGAAGAAGAAGAAGTCAGTGTAACTGCAGACTTTGTGCAGTCGTTTCGTAAACGCGTGCTGAATGCTCTTGCACAGTGGTATGAGTGTGACGCTGGCGACAACGACCAAGGCGAGATAAAGCCAATGCCGACGCCAACGTTTACTACTACATCGCGTGAAACTGCGCTTATCCTGCAAAATTGGACTGACGACCGAACAAAACAGCTTGGAGTGAGAAGATGGCTAGCACGGATGGAAGCTTACCCAGGCGTCCCTCCACTGCGAGGGGCATCATCCAACAGAGTGCTCGAGCTCCCGCCTGAAGGATGCACACTGGAGCTAGACGACATGACATCGGAGGTAAAGGATGCTTTTCTGCTCCTGGTGATTCCTATCCTCAAGCAAAATCGAGCGCTACACGTGCGCGTCTTCATTCGGTACGTATGTAACAAGGAAGCGATGCTGAAGCAGCAAGAGGGCGATGAAGAAGTTGGTATCGAGAAAGTATGGAGTATGCGGATCCACGCACAAAGCACAGTCACCCGACCCCGCCCTTCCTCTCTCAAGTTGTCGCCGAGTTCTCGCGGTTCACCGAGTCCTTTAGCGCCTACATCTCCTGCCTCGTCAGTGTCGTCACTTTCTAGTACTGCAAGTTCACGACTGCAGATTATCCAAGAAAGGTTGCAATACCTACACCACAACGTTTAAATACACGACGCTAGCCACAAATCACAAGATATACACGCAAATGAAGCCCGTCATCCGATTATCAATCATCATTTTCTTTCTTGCATCGTCACCGTTTACCTTGTGCTTCACTCCTGCGACTGCCAAATTCAGCTTACTCCGCCTTCTTCTTGGCTTCAGCAAACATGAAATCATAGTCCTGAATCTGCGCCTTCAATGAATCACGTTCTTCCGTCAACTTGGTAATCTCTTCATGTTGACGCTTCAATTTCTCCTCCTGAGATTTGGTCGTTTCCAATTGCTTGTCCACCTCATTCTTCTCATCCATAAGTTTCATAAACGCCGAGCTTTGTCCTTCCGCTTGTTTCGTCACCACCCCAACTTGTTCGTGTGCTTTTTCCAATTTCTCAGCCAAATTTTTCACCTCTTCTTCCAACTCGGCATTTTCCTGCACCAATCGAGCCAACGCATCAATTTTCTTCTTCTTCTTCTCATCACCTTCTTCACCGTCCAAAAAGCTCATGAAATTTCTCCGTCTGTTTCTTCAAACTAGCATTTTCAGCCAATAAGACTTTATATCCAGCTGCTGCTCCTTCTGCTTGTTTGGTCATGGCTTCCAGACTTTTTTCCAAGTGAATATTTGTCGCCAATGTGATATAGACAAGACGTAGCAGCAAGAACAGAAAGAGACAAAATCCTGTAATGTACATGTCTCGTTGGGCTGTAAGAAGTCGAATCCGCATGCCATCACCAAGTACTTCTTCGGAAGAATGATGCTTGTAAAGTGTCGTAACGTCCGCTATAATATCATGACAATTTAGAAATGCACATTAGAAACATACAGTTAGAGAGAGTTTGGACGGCATTAACTTCATGTACGACAGTTAACGAGCTTTTTTTGCACGAACCATGTCACACATGTACGTACAGATAAAGAGAATCGAGACCAAGGCGAGAATAATAGTCGCAACGGTATTTGCAGGTGAATCTTTTCCAAAATATCGCATTAGAAATGAAATAACGGCATAGGATAATCGCTGGCCAAAGGGAAGACTCAGTATGAGACATATAAGAGCCTCAGTTACCATCATCCAGAACATGAATTGATTCAATAACATCTTGAGAGAGAAAAGAAAAAGAGAAGAGAGAGAGGAGAAGAGAAGAGAGATCAAGTTGTTCTCTTTATAAAGATCGAATTAGAAATAGATTTTGAGAAATGGAAGGGAAAAAATAGGATGGTGTGGACTACATAAAAAGCTGACATTGGATTCTGTGATTATCTTTCTAGATATTTTACGGATCCCTCCCTGCCTTATTGTAAGTAATTTTTATGCGTTAAATAGAAGTCTTAACTGTAAGCTATTTTTCTTATTGTTGTCACTAGTTCTTATTGCATGCTTAACTACATAATATAGAAGAATGACAATGGTTCTTTTTCTTTACTAGTGTTGATAACCCATCATATGTTAAGACAACACTTTGCAAATAAAAAAATCAAATAAACATGCAATTCTTACACGTTCTTCATCTCTGCAACGTATTTACCTGATACAATCACAATTTTCTGCTGTCAAATGTCTTCATTCTCTCTTTCAATGCGGTTTCCAGACTTGTAAGTTGAGCACGAGATTTATGCGACTTGCAACGATAACGCCCGCTTGATACTCGAGATAAGTCGTTGCGAAAGCACCGAGTCACGCATAACGACTAGAATTTGTCCCTTGCCACTTTGAAGCTGAATTTCCAGTCCAATCAAAACATTTTCAGCGCTAGCAACTCCACTGCGAAAACGTCCAGCAAACTTGCACTTGCCAATGACACCATCCATGTTATCGATTTCATAGAGTTGTGCAACATTGCAATCGGTTAAAACGGCCTGCACCACAGTATTTAGCGTTACTGGGGTTGACACGGTCAATTCCCTCGTGTGTAGAGATGTCGAATCCGTCATTGAGATACGACGTTCGAAATCATCCAAACTCATCTGTTGTGGAACGAAAAGCTCTCCCACCACAGGTGAGAGATCCACATCGTACGTGTCTGCACTTGTGACAATCTTAAGAGGTACATTGTCGAGACGACCCGTGAAATCCACATGCAACTGGACCATCGATGTCGATCCACCAGGAAACAACACAGGTAGAGCAGGGAACGGAACAACTTGCTGAGGGTTTTTGCCAACGACTTGAACGCACGAAATGGGCTCGCTTGAATTGTTTGCTAGCCACAGCTGGATGACATTCATACCAGGAGAGTGCGTCGACGGTTGGCGCAGAAACGCATAGTGAACGTCCAACCCATTACCAGCAAGCGAGGACAATAGTTCACGACGTGGAGGCGGTGACGTCGATGAGGAGACACTTAGGCTCATCAAATCACCTAAGAGGTTCGAATGGAGGCCTGTCGAAGAAGTCGTCGGCGCAAACGCCTGGCTTGTCGGAGTCATCCCCGATGGTGACCCCAAAAAATCGACCGAATCAAAAGCTTTTGCTGGCTTTGACTTCTTAGCCTGTGAACGCTTCTGTGGCGACTTTACCTTTCCACCTTTTTGCTGACGGCGCGTGCGATCTTCCTCCTCCGAAGATTCGTCAGCATCATTTTCTTCTGAGGAGGCTTCACTTTCTGAACCTGAGCTAGAAGATGCTGACTCGGAACGAGATCGACTACCTTCGCTGCTGCTGTTTTCGGAGTCGTTGTCCGAGCCACTGCCAGAGTACGAATCCGACCCTGACCCCGACGCCGGTTCTGACTCTGACCAAGAATCATCAGATGAATTATCGTCACTGTAGAATGCCTTTGCGTCACCTTTGCTTTCTTTCTTTTTCGTAGCCTTAACACTAGGACGGGACAGATCACCCCGGTTGGTATCAACAATAGAGGATTCATCACGCAGCGATCGGTCCGGCCTGGTCGAACGCCACTTCGGCAAAAAAAGATATCCAGGAACACTGTGGCGCACAACATTCGATAGTGAACCTAGCGTAAAGCGTGTCTTGGCTTCATCATCGTACCCAATCAATGGTGCTGGCTTCTTGCTCGCAAACAACTTGTGTGGGTTTACAATACTTGCATCTCCAGACAACGCAGCACGTATCAAACGGGCACGGTCACGCACATCGTAGTCCATGTCGAACTTGCACAACTCAATCACATACTGGAGCAGAAGCTGAATGGTACGCTTGTGGGGTTCGCGAAGTCCAAGCTTTACTGCAAGATTCAAAAGCTGGAGACGCACCTCAGTCGATTCATCAGAAAAGTCTTTCACTAGCAAACGTAGCGATTCAGCCGCGCACGTAGTTCCATTTTCATCGTCATTGAACTCGCCAAGCATCCAAACAATCGAAGCACGAGCTAATGGACTAGTCACACGACCACTCACCATCATAGCAGCCAGAGAGCGCACGACAAGAAGGCGGTCCTTCTTGATTGCCTGCTGCTGAAGCAACTGGCGAATCACCACCACGCTTTCAGCAACAACTTGCTCGTTTGAAGAGCGAACAAGGCGCATCAGTCCGTTTAAACAGCGCTCCGCAACCACCGCCATGGCATCCGCCACGCGTCCAAGAGCGCGGACTGTCATGGTCACAAAGGACTTGTCTACATGGCGGACATACGCCTGAAACTCTCGCAGGATAATGCTCACGTTGTCGTCCGTAACCAGAGAGGTCAGAATCTCGAGCTTGAGTTTCCTGGCATAAGCCGGGTCCGTCGCACGTACAAAAAACTCCTGCAAGAACGGGCGAAACATGTCTGGACGGGATGTTGCCATTGACGAAATGACCGATAACACAACGTACTGGATCTCACGCTGGTTGCGCATGATACGTACCAGCGACTTGCCAATGAGCGTAGACGTCGCCATGCTATGCGTGCCACAGTAGTAATGCAGCGTAGCTACTGCAAGCACCACAGCACTATTTCTCGACTTAAGAAGCGGAATCGACGAGCGTAGTAACAGTCGATGGTCTTCATCCAGCTCGTCTCCACCTTCAATTCCACTTGCAAGTACATCACCACGGAACACGGAGCCAATTGACGGAAGCATTTCTCCTCTCACACTCTTTCCTCCAAGTAAAAATGGTGACTGCTTCATACTACTATGTCCATGATTCTTGTTCGTAGACTTGTTAATTTCATCCACTTCATGTTTTCGATCATCATCTTGTTCTTCATCTTCATCAGAATAAAAGTCTCGTTTTGTCCTTTTTTCTTCCAACCTCCATCCATCTCATTTGTAGCTCTTTCAACCATCTGAAATTGTTCTCGACAGTACCGTATCAAGATATTCAACGTCACTGTTTGTCCCCATTCATCAATATCTGCCAACAAATGACATAATTTTCGAAATGGTCGATGTAATAAATCCAATCGATCAGGACACACTTCACTAAGAGCTTGTACCGCACTTCCCAAGACCATCGTACTCGAATCATTCAATAAAGTTCCAATAATATCCGCCAGCACGTGTTTCTGATCCGGATCGAGACCAAATACTTTACTAATTGCATTAGTTGCACATTTTCGTACATAAGCGGATTCATCCGCCGCACATTTGCGAATTGCTAAAATTTGAAGTTGTAAAATATCACAAACTCGAATATTTGTCATAACACGAAGAGCTAAAGCTCGTATCAATTGATTTGGATCGGCCAAATCCTTTTGAAAACTATTGATACTCAAGAGCGCAAGTTCTCGACACTGGGCATTTGCATCTGCATAATGAACCAAGTACATATACACTAATTTCTTAACTTCCACGCTTGCAACAATGACATTTTTAACCACATCGGCAAAAAACATTGACACGTCTTCTCCTTTAGAAATACTTGCAAGTAAGGCTTTCATGGCTTCTAATTTTTCCCCATGACCTGCAACACCGAGTTTATTATCCAATAATTTACGAATTCGATCCCCACTTAGAGTCTCATCAAAGAAATGAGCATCGCCCGTCATGCTCTTGATTCCCATGGTCATGGCCATTTTTGGGATGAGTTTTGGAGTTATGTAAACACACACAAAATTACGAAAAATGAGAGGACGGATGGCGTTGTGACAAAAGGTGGCTGTATATTGTTGATTTCGATGGAAAGCTGGGTATTCTATTTGGTAGGATCGGCCGATTGGCTTTTGCCACTAAATTTTTATCCTGTTGTTTGGTGGTGCATGCGGCTGAACTCTGTCCAGTCAATTTGATTGATTATCTAGTGACTGTATCACTTCTTCATTGCTGCTCCGCGTCGACTCTGTGGATATAAACATGGTCGTAGCAAGTGATGTGTTACCATTAATACACACATTGTTGATTGGTGCTGGTTTGAAGAAAACAGCATCAGTATTGACCAAGGAAGCGAAATTACAGAGTAAAGCTTTTCAAAGTGAACATGATTTACTGGACGTGTATGAATTCTATTTGATGCACTATATAAATACGACCAAGGAGAAGGAGAAGAAGGAGAAGAAGGAGAAGATTGTGTCGTCCAGTACTAATGAGAAAGAGAAGAAAAAGTCCAAGAAGAATACAACAAAAACTGTGATTGTTCAAAAGGAAGAATCTTCGAGCTCGGATTCAGACGAAGAATCAGAAGAAGAGAAGAACAAAGTTATTGACAAGAATGCTGTTGGTAAGAAGGAAGAATCTAGTAGCTCAGATGATTCATCTGATAGTTCCTCGGATGAGGAGATTGAGAAATCTACCAAGAAGTCTGGACATGTTAATAAAAAGAAGACCAAGACTGCCGTAAAGGACCTCTCGGATGACGAGAAGCTGAAGTCTAATAAGCGTAAGGCTAAGACTTTTGCTGCTGAAAAGACATCCAAGAAAGCCAAGTGTGAAGCAGACTCTAGCTCTGACAGCAGTGACAGCTCATCGTCGGATGATAGTTCCTCAGACTCTTCGGATTCCGATTCGGATTCGGACACTTCGGATCATGAGGAGGCTCAGATGAAGGAGGCGGTACGTCGTAAAGAGGCCGCAAAGGCCGCACTAGAGTGGCAGCCCAAGAAAGTTGAAAAGGTGGTTACGAAAACAAAGTCGGCGGGCACACCGTTCCAGCGTGTGGATGGCGAGTTTTGGTCACAGAAGATTGTGGACGACACGCTGCGTGACAACAGCTACGAAGGCACTTTTGGTATTGACGGCGTCGGTGTCAAGGCCAATAATAAGCTCTTGAAAACGCGTGGTAAGGATTTTACGAAGGGCAAAAACAAACTCAAACGCTCGACGTACATGTGCGGTGCCATCAGCATGGCTTCGAACTCGTTCAAGTTTGAAGAGTAACTAGATTGATCAGCCCAATTAGTGAATGCAGAGATAGAGGAGCTGCTTCCAACTATAAGTTGCGATTGTAAAACGTATAGAATATACCTTACTTGTTTACCTTTCATGTCTGTAGTTCGAGTAACTAGCTGTCCAGCCTCGCAATCAGTGTTTGCAGTTCGTTGAGTCCTCGAGTAGAAGGTTTCCACGTGCTAAAACATTGAAAGTCATCACGTGACGACGTTGCAGCCAGGTCAGAAGTCTTTGACAAATTGAGGGTCATTGCACTGCCATGAGGATCACGAAACCCCGGAACATCTCCATCCGTAACGCCTTCTGACACCTTCATCTTGTCACCAAACATCGCACTCGATACCTGTTTTGTCCGCAACTTGTATGCGAGCATTTTCGCCTGCAGCAATTTCTTCTCTTGCATCAAAACTGAATCTAGCAGCATATTCTCTGCTTTTGACAATTGTATTGCACGCGCGATGTCTTCTTGTGCCAGATGAAACTCGTCCTTGAACCTATAAGCTTGTGCACGACGATAAAGTGCCTTTATATTCTCCTGATCAATTTCAAGTGCTTGATTCGCGTGATGCACAGCATCATCAAGATGCATGGTCTTGAGTCTACAAGCTGCAAAATTGAGCAGCAATTTAAGCTTCAAATTATCCGCTTGTGCTTCTTCTTCATCTGTATCTGCAAACACGTACTCAAAGTACACGAGTGCTTTATGATAATGATATGCAGCTCTCTGGTACTGACCGTGCTTGAAAAAGAGGTTCCCCAATACTCGAAACTCGTTACAAAGTGTTAATTTTGCTTGTGTTGTCATGTCCATAAGTTTTTGTTCCTACAAATGCACATTATCATAAAAATTAGACGAAAACTCATAATAATCCCTACATTTTATCCGATTGTAGTATTGCAATATTGCAATATTACAATATCACATTATCTTACAGCCGAATGGTCATGGTTACAGCCCATTTGAGCTTTAGTTGCATGTTCACTGCGATCACGAGCGTCTTGTTCCTGTCTTGCAAGTTCTTCGGGATCTTCCCATCCGTCCCATTTTTCATACGTTTTAGTCCAGTCGTAGCTATTTTGGTCCAACTTTTGATCTTTTACTAATACCAATTTTGACTTATTTTGAGCAAGATGCTCCTCTGTCTGTACTACATTTTGCTTGTCTTCTACCGCGTGATGTTCTTTATCCACAATTAGTTGATCTAGCATACGAGATAAAGCAGGTGTAGACATCGTAGGACTAAATAACTATTTTTTACTACAAATTAGTTTGAAAATGTTATTATTATTTGTTTCATAGCGTTAAAACCATGACCTATTTTAATTCACCATACACTTTAATTTTAGTATACTAAATCGATAGACTGCATGTACTACAGTATACTAAATAAAATCTAAGTAGTGATTAAAAAAAATAGAGTCGCTGTCATTTAGCAAGAATGTTTTTTTAACACGTTGTAGCACTGTCATGTTGCTGGCGTCCTTTCGAACGCACAAACATCATCATACCAATCGCCGTAGCCACCATCAAAACGTACATGCCAACAATACTTCCAATGACCAATGATTCGGACGGTTCCGAAACCTGTTCATTGGCATTTTTCATTTTGGCGAGCGCAGTTTCTTCGGTTTCGGCAAGCTCATTATCTTCTGTTTCGGCAAGCTCATTATCTTCTGTTTCAGCGAGCGCCGTTTCTTCCGACTTGGTTACCACCTTGTGTAGTTTATTCGTAGAATGAGTCCTAGTTTTTAGCTCCACTTCTCCTGGAGAATAGTTGCTTTTGTCTGGAAAGGACTCGGACGAGAACTTTGGCGATAAGGCCTGTTCTTCTGAGGTCGCTGATGGGGACGCCGCGTCCGTACCGGTTGATTCACTTATCGGTTTATTGGCCAGCTCTCGAGCAGAAGTTATAAGCAGTGTATGCATCTGCGCCACAAAAGCCGGGTATACTTGATATGTCCACTGTCCTTCCGGAATCGATGCAATCTGATTGTTGGCTTCATCCCCTTTTGTAATGCACAGTCCATGTTCTGCTTCCATTCCATCGGGGCATTCGGACCCTTGAACTCCATGCTTGTACCATGCAGACTTTCCATCATTTCCTGGTGGCGAGTAGACACACACGACTATATCTCCACCTGAACAACTCGCCGTTGCACAACCGACACTGGTCGTTGATGCCCAAACTACTTGAGAGTACGAGTTGTAAATCCCTACACCGACATGATGACCCGTGGAACCTGGTTGTGACATCTTCTTAATCGTTGCCATTGCAGTTTCAACCACCCACTCCTGAATTGCTTCATCAATAATTGACGGAGAGTTGGTGGACGATGACTGATGAATATTTATACCTCTTTCTGTAGTAGCCGAACACTTGGACGCTGTGGAAGAAGCTTTCGTTGCCAAGTCGCCATCCCAATTGATGCGGCACATGTTGGCGGCTGCCGATGGTAAGGCTGTACTACGAAAAAAATTGTGACGATCAATCAAAATGGCTTGTTCCACTTTGCTAAAGCTTTTGGCATTGACAGCAGCTACAATAGCCGCTGCCGAGAAAAAAGAGAAGGACGTAGAGACCTTCATTGTCTTTAGATAACAATTCAATAAACTGTAGAGCAAAAGAATGCAAAAGTGGCCATCTCGTCAAGCTTTCGCTAACTAGTATCACGTTGCGACACGGTTCTATTGATCAGACTGGCTTGTAATCAATCCGGTTCCCAGCTGGGCTAAAAATCGAAGATGTACATGCCAAACAAAAACGGCACGATTGGAATCTACAAAATGTACAAGACAATTAGTATATGCTTAGGACAATACTCAGCATGTTGTTAATGTAGCACAACAGACAAATGTTTTTGTGCGATAATTCTACATTTGTTGCAAAGGTTTCTACATCACTTTTGTTAGTTTTTGACAATAATGGTCTTCCTTCTTTTGCACTCACTTGATCGACCTTCTTATTGACATTTTTTTCGCAGAGTGGTAGTATTAAAGTTTTTAAAGCGTGCACATCTCTTCTAATATTCAACAGCAAAATTCAGATAGTGTTAAAATGGACAAGGCGGGAGAGATACATTATGGGATTGTACTTTATTAGCAAAAAAGAGAGTGTCGATTGTGCGTCGTCTAGTCTTAAAACACGATATGACCAGTGTGCAACAGCATGAGGAGGCTATTGGTGCGAGTGCTGTACAAAGCTTTTCATGTGAGGGCTATAATTGAGGTACGAATCACTTGTAAGTAAGTAAGTGGTAAACGAAGATAGCGCACTCTAGATACAACCTCTAGTTTCTAAAGACAGATCTGTGACAAGAAGAAAAATTTGCAGTGCTCACGTGGTTGTAGGCAAAGAGCGATGATGCGTTCGTCTAAAAAAACCTGGCAGACCAGTAGTAGAAATACGCAAGCTCAAGATATGATTGTTCATAATGATCTCATTGCATTGGCTGAGGTCGTAAATGGACTGGATACGCTGAGACATTACCATGCCTCCTCCCATGCACGTCATGACTGACGACTACATCCCTTTCTACGTCAGATGTGACGGAAAAAGGAGCGTAGTCAGTCCACCGAAAAAAGAGACAGTGTGCGGCTTGTGGTGGTAGTCCGACTACATGTATTCGGACGGACGAGGTTTTTGACTGGCGACAACAGCTGCATCTATAGTTTAATCTGCCTCTGAGCCTACCAGCAATGTCAATCCTATCGTCTTTAGATACTACTTACTATACAATGAGGAAAATCTTTGCGTATACCTTTTGAGTTTTTAGAGCAGTTGGCCACATTTATTGTATCATTTCATGCGGAACAAACGCCACATACATTCTTCTTTACACGTATCCAACTAATTTTACCTCGTAGGTCAAACCAAGTCGTAATTTACAACTGCCACCCCTTCGTTTCTAACAAATAACGCTTAAGACTTGAACTGACTGTTGTAGCTTAATCAACCCGAATACCGCCATCCCGCATAATTTCCCGTTGACGTCGCTGGTTCCTCTTATAGCTCATGACCACACCAAAAGCCGCAATACAAACGATAACAAGCACGGATATTCCAGTTATACCAGCAACCGAGATGTTCGATTCAACGCCCTTATGCTGAGTGGCAGTCATTGTGCTCGGTGCAGGACTTGAGCCAGACATTGGGGTGGTAGGTGGTAAACTCTCATCATTATCTGGTTTGCTTGAAGTGCTGGTAGGGCTGCTCGAAGTCGGATTCTTTGTCGACGGTTTCTCATTTGTAAAGGTCGAGCCTTTGTCAGAGCTCGCCTTGACCGTTCCAGGTACCAAGTCTTCCTCTTGTTCCGTTGAGGTCTCCATAGAAGAATGCGTACTAGTTTTGTCGGGTTTTTTGATGTAGACGTCGACTCCTTACCGGTTTTCGTTGAAGGTGAAGGAGTCTCATCCATTGCACTAGTCTTGGTATCACCAACATCCTCATCCGAGCTAACCGAATGCGTCTTTGAAGACGACGGAGTCTTCTCCGTTGCACTTTTCTTGGTATCACCAACATCCTCATCCGAGCTAACTGAATGCGTCTTTGAAGACGACGGAGTCTTCTCCGTTGCACTTTTCTTAGTATCACCAACATCCTCATCCGAGCTAACCGAATGCGTCTTTGACGACGACGGAGTCTTCTCCGTTGCACTTTTCTTGGTATCACCAACATCCTCATTCGAGCTAACTGAATGCGTCTTTGACGACGACGGAGTCTTCATCCGTTGCACTTTTCTTGGTATCACCAACATCCTCATTAGAGCAAACCGAAGGCGTTTTCGAAGGTGTCTTCAAAGATGAGGAGGTCGGCGTTGCTGTCGTAGCAGCAGGCGGAACCGTCGGTGGCTTTTCACCATTGGCAATCCCACGTGCCGCCTCAACCAATACAGTCTGCATGTTAGCTACATAGTCTGGGTATACTTCATACGTCAACTTGCCAGCCGGAATAAGAGCAATCTGTTTGTTAGCTGCATCTTCCTTCTCACCACATAGTCCCTGTGATGCCGTCGTCCCCGACGGGCATTTCGATGCCGGCTCGGCATGAACGTACCAGGCTGAAGACCCGTCGTTTCCTGGTGGTGAAAATTCGCACACGACCATTTTACCCCCTGAACAACTGGCCAATGCACACCCAACACTAGTCGTTGATGCCCAGAGAATCTGAGAGTAAGCATTGTACGTTCCTTTTCCAATTTCAACACCCAAAGCACCTGGTTGTGCAAGTGTCCTGAGTGTTTTCATGGACGTCTCAACCACCCATTCCTGAATAGCTTCGTCAATAATAGACAATGACGTAGATGATAATGATGATGACTGGTATACATTCACACCTGGTCCTGTCGTAGCTGAACACTTGGCTGCACTAGAAGCAGCAGTCTTTGCCAAGTCATTCTTCCATCCAATTCGTTGCATATTTGCTGCTGACCAAGGTAAGCCCGTGGTACGAAAATAATTGAGACGGTCAAGCCAAATTGCCTCGTCTACTGGACTAAAGCTGTTGTTATCGGCATATACGATCACTATCGTTACAATTAATAAGGTTATAATAAATGGCATGTACATGAGGTCTTGCTTCACGCTGATAATCAAATTAAAATATGAAAGAATGAAAGCACAAGGTACTACTGACTCGGTAATTTATGTCTGACGTAACCTTTTTTTTCTGCTGCGCTTTTACAGTTGCAAATTGTAAGACACACACGTCGAAACGATAGCCTCATAGAATTAATAATAGTACTGTAATATTTGAGCTACCAAAAGAACTACAAGGAACCTTTCATACAAATTGATTTGAAAAAGGGGCGACTTGACGAATTCAATCAAATCAGTACATTTTTGTCACCCTGAATACCTACCCACCTCATTCATATGACTTTGAAGAATTAGAATGTCTCAGTGTGTGAATATGCATCGTCAAGTTGAATAGCACAAGGTGCTTGTTTATATCATGCACGAACTTTTTTACATTCAAATCATGCCATCATGGCTGTAGAAGTAAAAGAAAAAAAACAATTGACTTTATCGTTGGTTTTTCTGATCACCAATGCTTGTCCTCACCGCTATGGTAGCACTCAATCACTCAATCACCCTTGCAATATCCCTACAATGTGGGCTCGAACTTGATGGTCGCGAAATTATTCCTTGGACTTAAACACCACCGTCTTGCATAATATCACGCTGTCGCTGCTGATTCTTACGATAGCTTATGAAGACAGCCACGACGGCAACGGCCACGACACCCGCCACAACTATACCGGCGATAGCTGCTGGCGACGGTCCACCACCGTTACTAGTGATAATGGACGACTGGGTGTTCGCCATGGCTGTAGCTTTCAAATCCGAGTTCGAGGAGGTACCCAGCTCAGCCGATTCTTGTTTGGTAGGGTCACCCAGCTCAGCCGATTCTTGTTTGGCAGGGTCACCCAGCTCAGCCGATTCTTGTTTAGTAGGGTCACCCAGCTCAGCCGATTCTTCTTTGGTAGGGTCACCCAGCTCTGCCGATTCTTGTTTAGTAGGGTCACCCAGCTCTGCCGATTCTTCTTTGGTAGGGTCACCCAGCTCAGCCGACTCGGTTGGCGTTTCATTGTCCCCACCACTTTCCGAGCTAGGCTTCACTGTACCTGAAGATTTTTCTCCAGAGGACGTGGATGGACTGGTCTCCGAGCTCTCACCTAAATCCTTAAACATATCAAGCGACTTGCTCTTTTGCGGCAGGGAGCCCGTCAAAGTGGACAAATCCGAGGTTGAGAGGTCTTCACTGGTGGCCTCCTTTCCTTCACCGGTCGCTTCGGTTTTGTCATCAGTTAAGGGATCTGGTGATGCTTCCGTATCGGAGGCACTCGGTTCTTTAGTCAATTCGGATACTGATCCATCCGGAGAAACTACAGCTACGGGATCGGCTCCAGGCGCATCTCTCGCCTTTGCTGCTTTCAGAATTGTTGCCATGATGTCGGCTATGAACGTTGAATAAACCTCGAGACTCGATTTTCCTTTGGGGATTGGCGCAATAAGTTTATTGGCCGGGTCTCCTTCAACAACGCAAAGCCCGAGAACAGCTGTGGTTCCTGTCGGACAAAGCTTCGCCTGTGCAGCGTGGACAAACCATGGCGACTTGCCGTCGTTCCCTGCCGGCGAGTATTTACACACGACCATCGATCCGCCAGAGCAACTGGCCATCGCACATCCGACGCTAGTCGTTTCAGCCCAGATCACTTGTGTGTATGAGTTGTAAAGTCCCGCGCCAACGGAATCGCCTTCCTTTGCCGGCGGAACGACTGATCCGATATTAGACAGTGCAGGCTTGACAGCCCAATCATTGAGCGCTTCGTCAATCACCGATGATGAGTCCGTTGACGTGGCCTTAAAGACGTTAAGACCGGCAGTTGTTTCAGCAGTGCAACTTTCAGCCGTCGATGCGGCTTCCTTGGCCAACTCATCGTCCCAATTCATTCGTTTCATATTACCTGCTGCCCAGGGCAAAGCTGCTACTCGGAAATAGTTGTGACGCTCGATCCAGATCGCTTTTTCTTCATCAGTAAAGCCGCCAATTTGGTCCGGATCCGATGCGCAAGAAGGCGAGCTGAAATCGTAGAGCGGGGTCGAGCTATCTTCGTCAGATTGTTCGTCCGTGAGACCTCCCTTCGTGTCTCCTCCATCCGGTTCACAAGGTGCATCGAAATCGTATAGCGGGGTCGAGCTATCTTCTTCAGATTGTTCCCCCGTGAGGCCTTTCTTCGTGTCTCCGTCATCCGATGCACAAGGTGCATCGAAATCGTATAGATCTTCAGGTGGGTCGCCCGTGGCGTCTTTCGTATCGACCAGAGATTTCGAGTTATCTTTGTCCGATTGTTCGGCCGTGGACTCCGAGCTCAACGATAGTTCCTCGGTGGGATCACTATCTGATGGCTCTGATGCAAAGACGGATGTGCTCGCCGTCTTGGCGTTTACGCTCGTGCTCAATGCAACCAAGACAGCTGCCACAACGAGACTTGTTGATACTTTCATTCTGTTGCTGACAAGTGCTTGCAACCTAGAATTATTTACACTGCGAGACAAGAGTGGATTTGTCGATCGATGCGCGGCCACAGAAAAAAAATACTAACGTTTACACGTAAAAGCAGATCCCTTTCACGTGCTCGGTGGAACGACGCAAGGTCTTGCCACAACCTCAGCTGTCAAACCTGTATTATACACGATGGTACAGTCCCCTATGGTTCCAGCTGGTGAATAGAATAGCCTTGCGTGCCGGGGTACATTTGACTTGAATTACTACAGTATGGGGATGATTGCAGCCTATTAGGGGAGCACCTAACAATGCTAAGACTTGAAAATGGTCATCGTGTCGTAGAGCGTGCTGGCTTTTCATGACTGACCTGGTTCTGGGTCCGAAGCAAATACATTCAGCCTTCCCTCATCAGCAGCTGAATACTTGAATGTTGTGACGGGATTTGACTGTGAACGCATCGGTTGAAAAAGCTACAGCTGTGACAACAGCTTGGACCGGAAAATGCGAATGCTTTGCCCATTGGCAGGCGACAGGCGCTGGTCGGGCGTTTCTGGATGTCTAATGCAGCTTCATATTGAGTCTGGAACTTTTTTGACGCGGATGAATGGTATGAACTGTCTCAACTACTAGCTGCTAGTAGTTGAGAATCAACTGGTTCTGTCTGACCTTCAAGCAATACATGTCGGATTATGGTTTGAGGATCAGGTAGTTGATGTCCTGCATTTAACGAGATCTGAAAGGCCTGAAGGCTCAACAATTTATTGCCATGCAACGTTTTGCTGTCGGAACATCATAGTGTAGATCACTACGAGGTCGCTAGTATGGACTGGCTCGTTGACCTCCCGGGGACAGATGTATACATCCTGTCGTACATGCACGGAAACACATTCTTCAACACCACGCTTTTCCTCTTTGTCTCTTTATGTAAAAGAGATTGATCAAAAGGATGGAATGCTTACGAGGCATATCTAGTCGTAGACGTATGACGTGAATATAGTTAGGCTCTCATTTAGATGTTAGTTCGCAGATCGTGCTTCTTTGACAAACGGCGTCAGCACCTGTAGCTGCGGCACTCGCTCATGCGATCGGGTTCGAGTGTCTTGACCACCTTCGGTTTGTGGGTGCCAGTCGCATAGACTTTTGTCGTGGTAGGTACTGCATGGCGTAGCGTTAATCGTGGAACGAACAAGTGGTAGAAAGACTCGATGTCGATGATACGATCTCACGACGGTCTGCTAACCGGGCGCGCAGTCTCCATCAGCATTTTTACGATCCTGTCTTTGACTTCTGTGGAGCTCGATGTTTGCACAAAAAGACGACGTTCACGATGAATGTCGTTCCTCTTGTATGTTTCCCAGATGATGGCGTCCTGATTGATGCTTTGCTGGAAGTTTGAGGCATGAAAACGATTGGGTTGGATCTTGCAGGCCTGTTAAGTTAGGAATATGTTGGGTAGAAGATGTAAGGGGTATGTGACGCTGGCAGGTTTTCGACATCCATGTCACTCGACTATGAGACGATGATGCTGGTCACCTTGAACTCGACGTTTGCTCGCACTTGCAAGCATGGAGAGGTAAAGAGCAGGAACATCGTTGGGTCGTAGCTATATTCCGCTATTACTGCGGAATATGCTGCAGTAACCTACTCCTGTCGGATAGGTCCTGTCTTGAGGAACTTGGCGCAAAAGAAGCCCATGGTATCTAGCTCAATGTTCGATGGGTCAAAGCGTTGTACGAGGGACGCTTCGTGCTCGTTGAGGCCCTGACCTGGCAGCCCGCGGTCGCCGAGGTGAGCTTTGCCTTGAGAAACAAGTTTCAGCGGATAATTTTCGAGCGCGTGATGCACCATCTGCTCGTTCTCTTTCGGATTGATCGTGCATGTCGAGTACACGAGCGTGCCGCCAGGTTTAAGTAGGAATGCTGCAACCCACAAAAAGTTGCGCTGCATCTTGACAAACTCGTCCAAGTTGTCCGTATCACTAGCGTGAAGCAACCGTGGACGCAAGCCTAGCGCTGAGCAAGGCGGGTCTAGCAAGATACGGTCGAAAGTTTCAGGAAAGAATCCCTCCACCTGCAACAAGCGCGCTTGGCCTGGAGTGTTCTCCTTTGCGCGAGCTACAACCTGCGCCACACTCGTGAAGTCCTTTTCTTGCGTGGCAGCCAGCATTGTGTCGACCTTCTCTTTAGGTAGCACAGCATGTGTTGAATCCATCTTAAGCGGTACGACACACTCGAGTTGAAGATCTTCGCACAATGTACGTAGCTCCAGTGCTTTCCGCTTCGAGCGATCGCAAGCTATTAGTGCGCCTTTATTTCGCATCAAAGTAGCCACGTGGGAAGTTTTTCCTCCGGGCGCTGCACACATGTCTAGAATCACATCGCCCTCTTGCGGATCCAATGCATGTGCAACCACCGAACACGGCAAATTCTGCACGTAGATCTGGCCCCGTAATACACCGTTCATCGGTGGTGCATCAGGACAAACTCGGACCAATTGAGTCACTGCCTGTCCTCTCACAGCACGAAATATCTCCGTTCTTGCCATCTTGGTCACGCCACGAGCAATCAAAAGCTTGCGTCCCCTGTGTGTTGCAAAGTCACTTCCACGCGTGTGGTTGTGGTCAAGATCAACAAAGACATTGACCTGATCTTCAGCATTAATGCCACTGCTGGCACTCATAACTCCTCGAGCAAAAATGTCGCTCCCACGTAGCACTGCTTCGCCACAAAGTCGATCCACAACGATACTCTTGAGTTCCGAATTAAACTCGACAATGGCTTGTCCACTGGGTGATGAAGGAATCATTATCACGTCCGGTAACGATGGATGGACAAAGGCTTCAATTGGCTGACGACTGGTATCGAGCTCTACTAATTCAGTATTAAACTTGTCCAAATGAGGTTTAAGAGCTTGCAATGCTTCATCACGTGACAATTTCAATGTATTTACTCGAACAGCAGTAAACGCAGGTCTGATTACATTGTATTCAATAAAAAAAATATTAGTTGAATGTGTAAGGGGGACTTTGACATGGTTTTTACAATAATACTTACGGTCGAGCAAGAGCACGCTTGATATTGGTCCAATGAGGTTCACTATATGCAGCACGTAGATTCTTTTCGACTTGGTCAGGAAAACATACGGAAAAAGCAGCTAACGTCGTGATGTCCAGTGATGCCATGATGGCCAATTATTCATACGTGGTGTCAAACTGGTAGTATATGATAGTAATGCAAAGTACTATTGTAAGAGCTACATTGGTTTTGTACTACACCAATTGTAATACTTTCGATGTTAATATTTTTGCGACGTGCGATGCTCCGTTGTTCAGATACCCATACTGAATCCAAGTCATTACTTATCAGTGGTGGCCAATCCACTTCAAATTGATATCTATCATGGCGGCCACCCCAACTAAAGCTGCCGTGTTTGTGGCTTCTGCCCCGTGCTTCGAAGCCTTCCGCGATGTACTAGTAATGTCACAAACTGCAAGTACTTCTACAAAGCTCATTGGTACGCACAATGGCACGTTCCATTGTGATGAGGCATTGGCTGTATCAATGCTCAAACTTTTGCCCAAATTTGCGGCCCACGACGTACTGCGCACACGTGACGAGGCAAAACTTGCTCAATGTGAGGTGGTTGTAGACGTGGGTGGTACCTACGACCCAGAGACGCTCCGTTTTGACCATCACCAGCGCAGCTTCACGGATACTTTTGACCACTGCGACATTAAATTGTCAAGTGCTGGTCTCGTGTACAAGCATTTCGGTCGTGAGATCATTCAAGAAGCTGGCTGATCCCACAAAGTTGGACGACGAGACGCTGGATATTCTGTATCGAAAAGCATACAAGAACTTTATCGAGCACATTGATGGCATCGATAATGGTGTCGAGGTGGCAAGTGCTGGTGATGCTAAGCTCAAATATAACTATCAGGTGTCGACAACTCTTAGCAGTCGTGTGAGTTATTTGAACCCTCGCTGGAATGAATCCCAGGATGAGCAGGGGATGAGCAGACAATTCAAGCAAGCCATGTACATGACAATCACCGAGTTTACGGATGCTATCCACGATCTCGTGTACTCGTGGCTACCGGCTCGCGAGATCGTTGAAAAAGCGGTTGCCAATCGCTTTGAGACCCACAAGTCCGGTGAAATTGTCCATTTTCCTAAATTCTGTCCATGGAAGTCTCATTTATACGACCTGGAAGAGAAACTCCTGATCCAAGGCCAAATCAAGTTTGTGCTTTACAATGACCCAACGGGTAATATGACTCGTGTGCAGGCACTCAATGTTGAGCCAGGATCGTTTGCACTGCGCAAAGGACTGCTGCCACTTTGGCGCAGTCTGCGTAATGAAGAATTGTCGCGTGTGTCTGGTATTGAAGGATGTACGTTTGTACACAACGCTGGATTCATAGGGGGTAATCGCACATTCAAAGGTGCACTTGAAATGGCTGTCAAGTCGATTGAAGCTACGGATGAAGAGACCAAGTAAACGCATGACAGAAGCCTTTCGCTAAACGTAAAAGCATATTTTTCGACGTTGAAACTGATTTTATGTTGCTTGTATAATTGTGATTATTGTTTCTATATTTATGTTGCTGGAAGAAAATAGAGAAAATACCACCCATTTTGAGACTTTTCGGGTGCCGAAAAAAGTTTGGTAGACATTATGTCAGAAGAAGGAAGTGAACCGACGAGCACCGGTACGACCTTATATACCTTACAAATAGAGCGGGGCAATGAGCTCGATAGGCTGCGTGTGTCACACAAAAGCTTCGTATGCGGTCCTTACTGTTTCTAATACAGAGCGACAAGATTTACGAATATATTATAACCTCTCATACTTTATATTTTTATGTAACCCATTCAATTATTGCAGGTAGAAGCACAGGTACCATCCCAGAAGCCCATAGTACGTGGTAGATACGCCAAATTTAATGGAGCAATGGACGTGATGTTACTAGAGGCGTTACAAGTCAATAATCCGTTCACGGCTAAGCACGGGACGAGACTTCAGATGTGGCAAAATGTGGCTGAATCCGTGGGAGTCCAAGGGTTTAAAAACCCAGCAGCTTTTTCATGGCACACATGTCGGTGGGTTTTTTGATTTAAATTCTAGTGTTGTTTGAAATTTATGATTTTTCGTGCTGGTTAATACTGATGTGTTAATAACCTGTCATATCTTATATATACCTACTCTTGTAGTGATCGCGTGACGGCGCTTATGAAAATGTATACTGATGGTAAACACGACAAACTATTTAAACACGGGACAATGGAAGAAAACTCTCGAAAAGAGGCTATTTTACGTGAGATCAACGACACATTGATTAGAAAGAATCACAAGATGGCAGGACAGATGACGGTTGATGGTAATGGCAAAGAGACGACTATTGGGACTAAAAGTGAAAGTGGAGAGCTCCATCCTTCGTCTACTTCATCATCTCCGACATTACCGCAGAAACGGCAGAAATTGGACACTCCTTTGGATGTCAAAACCATTTCTGTTGCATCATCCGATGTCCAATCCAGTAGTAATAGTGATAACTTCCGCACACGAATTTTAGAGCTGATTGAGAGAAAGATTCAATTTGATATGGATCAGCGTCAGAAGGAGACGGAACTTCGGGAACAGGAAATTGAGTTGCAGAAGCGGTTACTCGAGTATTTACAGTCGAAATTGGGTGGCGAGAATGGGTTTCAAGGTGATATCGAGCGATGAAGCTTAAGCGGCAAAAATGGACGAAAAGGAGCTGACAAGTCGCTGGAATCTCGATGCATGCCTTCGTACTGAAGGGTAACGCAGCAGAGATGGATCGCTTTTTCAATGAAAAATCTGTTTATTTGTGGCATTAGGTTTTTAGATACTGCTGCTATAATGCGTGTCTAGTCGACAGCTTTGCAGCCTCCTGATTGTCATGTAGAGTCACCTTTACGTCATGAAGAATGCAAGTTGTAATCAATATCTTCATCTTCACTTGTCAGCTATTGTAGCCATCTATATATTCCCATCCTGTGGTGTACATTCACTGCACAGCATTTGAATAATCGAGACAATGGCAGAACTACCCGTGATTACTATGGCATACGACTGCAACGTGTACGAACCAGCTGAAGACACTTTTCTATTCGTGGATGCATTGCAAGATGAATTGCCTCAATTAGTGGCACTAGACCCTACAATCTGCGTCGAAATTGGGTGCGTGATGGACACAAATCTTATATCGGATGGCTGCAAATGCATTGATAAACAACTCCTTCCATACAGATGTGGTAGTGGTGCAGTGTTTGTGTATTTGGCGACACAATTGCAGCAATGGGGGACACAGTCGCTGTTTTTAGCAACCGATATTAATCCATTGGCGGCGCATGTTGCGCAACAAACGGCAATGAACAACCAAACTCAAATGTTTGATATTGTACGCACAGACTTGTTGCAATGCTACGAGCCACGGATAGAGGTAGTAAGCATAGTCGACAGCAATAGCTCTGCCTTTTTACTAGCAACTTACTAAATGCTGTTGTGAGGTAGGGCTTAGTTGATGTTCTATTGTTCAACCCACCGTACGTGCCGACTCCGTCGGAGGAAGTCGGATCGATGTACGTTTTGCTTAAACTACTTCGTTAAGGCAATGAAGTGACATAGAGATTGTTTTACAGAGGCATTGAAGCTGCGTGGGCGGGAGGTCTTCATGGACGTGAAGTGATTGATCGTTTGCTGCCGAAACTCAAGACTTTGTTGTCTCCTCGTGGTGTATTCTACATGGTTGTAGTTGAAGAGAACAGACCCAACGAGATCGCTGCAATTCTGTCCATGGACGGATTCGAAATGACGGTGCGTTCTATTGCTCTTATTAATACATTTATTGTATGCAACAGCTTCACCAATATTTATGAATGTCGACCTGTATGTCTTACAAGGTTCTTCGCTCAACTAAAGCTAAGAATGAGCGGCTATCGATTCTAAAGTTTACAAGACCGCTGATGTAATCACAAAGGAGCAAAACCCATTCGAAAGTTCGTTCATATAATAAATATCGTTAAGTAGGAGAATACACGAGGTCGTCCGATATGGAATACTTCGTTTCTATCCTCTAGTATACATATTTTCGAAACTTATGTTGTGTAGTTGCGAAAAACTACGACGTTTCTATACTGACCATCTGGTCCAAATTACGTGTCCCCATTGGCCGTATACTAGTCAAAATCCACGTTAGATACTACTTGCTGAGCGTAAAATTTTTACCTAACGCTGTCGCTAAACGTAGCATCTAATATACTTTCACAATACATATTTCTTTGTCGTTCCTCTACACGATTCCATACTACAACTCGTTACTTCATCCCTACATATCCCCATCATCTCTTATATCCCTCTGCTTCTTTATATTCTCACATGTAACCGCACATTATATGCACAGAGCGAAAAAAACAAGGGGAAGGGCCCGGGAGGGGGGGGGGGGGGATAACGCACAAAGTGAAAAGAAGAAGCGCTCCGTCTCTTCGTGACACCCCACCCCATCTCACCCCATCCCCCCCCCTCTCATGTCGAGCAGTGGTGGCAGTACACGTAGTCCTAGTGAACGTCAACCGATAACAAAACGCTTTGCAAAGGCACGACGACGTGGGAATAGTCAAGGCGAGACTTTACCTTCAAGTACCAACGCTTTTGGAGGAATGAGTCCGGTGAATAGTTTTACCAGTAGTGGAAACGGGTTAAGTGCACGCAACACTATAAGTTTTGGGAAACCCATTACAACAACATTCGTGTCGTCTCCTGCAACGACCTTGGGACAACATTTGTCCTCTCTCAAAGATGATACGTCGTCCGGGTTTGTATCAAGTAAAACAGGGTTTTTAACCAAACGGGCCATGTCGAGTATGGATGCCTTTGCCAATTGGAAAGAACGGTTTTTTGTACTGGCAGAAGGTCATTTGTCCTACTATAAACAAGGTGGTGGGTTTTTCAATACTGGAAAAGAAGATATTGTCCATTTAAAGGGAGAATTGGAATTAACGCCCGATACGATTGTAAAAAAAAGCACGATTGATGACAAGGCCAATTGTTTTGAAGTGGCGACACCGACCAAGAAAATGTTTTGTCAAGCCAGTACAGCCCGAGAAATGGAAGATTGGGTCAAGTCGGTTCGAGCACATATTAATGCACTTAAGAAAACACAAATTCGAGGGAGTTTTCATGATGCAGCTCCTGTAAACCTTGGAGCATCGGGAGGACCTGGTGTGACTGCAGGTATTGGAGCGATGGTTCAAGCTGGAGCTATGGAGACGGATTATTCTCGTCCTAGTATGCTCGAAGACCATGAAATTGTTCGTGGAGCTGACAAGTCCTCGGATCCCAAGGATGTTGTTATCAAGCAGCTATTGGAAGAAAACAGAGCGTTACGAGAGCAATTGACAATGAAGGATCAAGTGATTCATGAATTGGAAATGAATGGCGGACGTATGCTTGATGGTCCGTCCGGTGGGGCAGGCAAATTAAGATCTACCGCTCCGCAGATGATTTTGGATTTGAGAGATGTCAAGAAGAAACAATTTCAGCTTTTTGATGCTGCCGAAGTGGGCAATTGGCACCTTATTGCAACGCTACTGCGTGATAATGTGGTTGATGTGAATGGCGTGGGGATTAACCAGACGTCGGCGTTACACCTTGCAGCGCGTAACAATCATCCAAATGCAGTCAAGGAATTGCTTACGCGTGGTGCTGACCCGTCTGCACGGACGGGCGACAGTTACTCAGCACTGCACATTGCTGTCCAGGCTGGAAATGTAGAGTAAGTATCGAGTAGTGAATTTTTTGTCGACGGATGTGGATTTGTGCTGATATACTGTGCTTTTTGTAGATGTGTGAAGGAACTGCTAGATGCAGGAGCGGACCCAAACGTGACGGACTACCAGGGCAATGCTGCCATTCACATGGCAGCTGAAACGGGCGATATTTCTGCGGCAAAATTATTGGTAGCACGAGGTGCACGCATTGATGCTCCCAATGCTAGTGGCAGTCTTCCAGTTCACTTGTCGCCGATTGGCCATCCGATTCGTGTGCTGCTTGGCAGTGGATCAAACCTAGCAGCTACAAACCCGTCTCAGCCGCCGAGCGCTGCGAGCAGACATCTCGCTGCGAGGGCGGTACTTGTAGTTTGGGGTTTGATTCATTCGCCAGCGCGGCCACCGGCGACAAGCGAACCGGGAAGTTAGACACGTGCGCACCTCGTGCTCACTGGTTTGATGCTCGTTTCAGCGCCATGTGAATGGCAGTATTAGTAACCCGTCACGCTTATTCACTTATTTGCGAAATTTCACATCTACAAAAAAGACAGAGACAGCATTGTTCCATTGAATTTGACGACTGTAATGTCCACTACTCGATACTTACTCTTACATTTCCAGCTCCGACAGCAATGTGTAGCTGACCCGTCTGCACGGACGGGCGACAGTTACTCAGCACTGCACATTGCTGTCCAGGCTGGAAATGTAGAGTAAGTATCGAGTAGTGAATTTTTTGTCGACGGATGTGGATTTGTGCTGATATACTGTGCTTTTTGTAGATGTGTGAAGGAACTGCTAGATGCAGGAGCGGACCCAAACGTGACGGACTACCAGGGCAATGCTGCCATTCACATGGCAGCTGAAACGGGCGATATTTCTGCGGCAAAATTATTGGTAGCACGAGGTGCACGCATTGATGCTCCCAATGCTAGTGGCAGTCTTCCAGTTCACTTGTCGCCGATTGGCCATCCGATTCGTGTGCTGCTTGGCAGTGGATCAAACCTAGCAGCTACAAACCCGTCTCAGCCGCCGAAACCTCGCAACGAGATGTCTGCTCGCGAGGGTAACTCAACGCAGGTTAGTCACTTGGCATTCAAGAACAAGTACCAGAAAGACCTTGCTCTGGGTCCTCGTGATTTCGAGTTTGTCAAGGTGCTTGGTCGCGGCGCATTTGCCAAGGTGTACTTGGTTCGTGGTAAGGGTTCGAACCGTGACAAGTGGTACGCACTTAAGGCGTACAATAAGCAGGCCATTGTGCAAAAAAACCAAGCGCAGTATATTCATACAGAGAAGGCAGCACTTCAGGCGTGCTCAGATCATCCGTACATTGTGACCTTGTACTTCGCGTTTCAGTCGCAGGATCGCCTGTTCTTGGTCATGGAGTACTGCGGTGGTGGTGACTTGCTTTCGGCACTTACCCGACGGAAGGCTTTTACCGAGAATGAGGCCGCCTTTTACATTGGAGAAATTGCGCTGGCGCTGTCGCACCTTCACTCCAAAAATATTGTGTTTCGTGATCTCAAGCCCGAGAACGTGGTGATGGACCTGGATGGCCACTGCTTGCTGACTGACTTTGGTATCTCTAAGGAGGGCATAAAGGATCACACGTCGGCCAATACTTTTTGTGGCTCGCCCATGTACCTTGCACCAGAAATGCTGTCGCGTTCTGGTCACGGTTTTGCTTTGGATTGGTATTCGGTGGGTGCTCTATTGTTCGAGCTGCTAACTGGTCTACCACCATTCTACACGAACGACAAAAAGCAGCTTTTCCACAACATTCTTCGTGGCCACCTGGTTATTCCGGAGTACTTGTCGTCGAACGCTCGCGACCTTATTCAGAGATTACTGCATCGTGACCCGAAGCAACGACTGGGTTCTGGCCCGACCGGCGACCGGGAGATCTTCGATCACCCGTTCTTCTCGAGTGTCAACTGGGAGAAGCTCAAGGCGCGCGAGTTGGCGCCTCCATTCACGCCTAAGATCAAAAAGGACCCGTCTGGAGTGCCCGACACATCAAACTTTCCGCAGGCATTCACGGATCAGGAAATTTCAGAGATGGAGCGAGGTTTTGACTTTATGGACCCAAATGCTGCCCAGGTGCAGCGCCCGAACCCGAACGGACACAAAGATGACAAGCGCTTGTTCAAGGATTTTGACTTTACACCAGAGCTTCAGTTGGATAACGAAGCCAAACAATTTGAGCAACTCGCTCTGCAGCAGAACAGTTTTAAGAACCTGCCGGCACCGGCTCTGCTCGAGACAGATGAGTACAGCATCTAAATGCTGCTAGAGTTTGTGATGGTCAGCCCCAAGGAAGGCCGACCACTACGGAGGAAGTTGTCCCAGTGTGAATACGAGCAGGTGGAAGAAATGAGTACATGTGGATCGAAAATATGCACGAAAATGGAGAATAAAATGAGGAGGAGGAGTGATGCTGCAGATTCGCGAGGGTAGCCAGACACTTGATCGAGTAGTTTGAGTGTACGTGAATGTAGGAGAAAGGAGCTCAATTTGGATTGCAGGTTCGAGTGGACAGCTAACGAAATGACAAAACAAACGGAGGCATTGTTGAGTCTGTAGATCAAGTAAAAAAAACTGAAATTGGGGCGTTATGAGATCATCGTCTTTCGAGTTCTCGTTGTTGATAGCCGTCCTTTGCGGCTACTATAGACTACTGCAATGGCTGTAGATGAGATGTTTGCAGTCAGCATTTGATAAGGCCATTGACGATGAAGACGTTTGTTGTGGTCTTGATGTTCCTTGTCGACCAAGGGCATATCTCTAATGTACAATTGATGGTCTTATAGTTCTAAGGATGAATTACATACAGCACAAAGGTTCTTAGCTCTTACAGCGCAGCAACTTGACATGCTTTCCTTATTAGATTGAATCTGAAGAATGACGGACGAAAGAAGTACCGACGGAATGAAGTAGACAACGGAATGAGGTTATCAGCCACATAACCAATTAGCACGTTTATTGTTCCTCCAAGCCCATTCCTTCCATCAGTCTCAAAAAAGTAATGAGCTGCATTCGTTGGCAGCTTGAAACACTTGCAAGTACTTGATTGTCACCAAACAAATACCAGGTACCACTTCTCTCTCGAGTTCTGACCAACGAGGCATTTAGTTCTTGCGGGCAGCAGCAACAGCTTTCTTGATCAAAGAGCTCTTTTGCTTACGGACAATCATGGCCTTGAAGCGGTCAAAGTCGTTGAGCTCCGCACGCGTCTTCTTATTCTGCATTTTCTTGGCCCACGTCGAGTTTTCCCACTTGGCAAGCGTATCGGCCTTGGCCAGTGCCTTCTTCAGCGTCTTTTCACGTGCCTGAAGAGGAATGTCCACCGTCAGATCCGTAAGTGAGAGACGTTTAAAGTTAATCACGTGACGGTTCACGCCTGTGACACTAAAAGGTCCATCAACAAGAGCCTTGTTCTCATCGACAACATCAATGATTGTAGCAATCTTGCCCGCGTCCGGGCCGTAGTTAATGAGCACGACACGTCCAATTGAAACAAAGCGAGTAAACGTCTAGCAATATAGATTTTTTTAGTCGAATTTTAATGACAATCAATAACAATTGAATACTAAAAGTTAACACGATCCATCCGTAACCATAGAAAAAAGACATACAAAAGAGAGACGTACCATAATGGTGCGAAGAAGAGAGATAAAACGCCAAACGAACTAATAAGCTTTGGACTCGTCTTCAGGTCTTTGACTCCGTCACGTAGAACCAGTCATCTAAACCCTATTCGTTCTTATATCCTATCCACCAATCATATAGTATTCATCATCCATTACTACACGTTGATTGGTTCATAAACAATTAAAAAATCTAGAAATACCGACGGATGTTCCCATCGTCCTCTTCTCCGCATATTAATCTTTGTAAGCTGAAAAGCAAACACTCCCAACCAACCAATTTTTGCTGGTATTAAACAATTTAGCATCAGTTTGAATATTTTCATCGAGGAAGAATGCCGTTTGTGAAAGTTTTGAAAAATAAGGCGTATTTTAAACGGTACCAGGTCAAGTATCGTCGTCGTCGAGAAGGCAAGACGGATTACCGTGCTCGGAAGCGTCTGATTACGCAGGACAAGAACAAGTACAATTCTCCCAAGTATCGTCTTGTTGTTCGTATTACCAATACAAAAGTGATTTGTCAAATTGCTTACGCTGAAATTGATGGCGACAAGATTTTGGCTCAAGCGACATCGACAGAACTTCCTCGTTATGGGCTTACTGTAGGACTGAAAAACTATGCTGCGGCATATGCAACGGGTCTACTTGTTGGTCGTCGGGTGCTTCAGAAACTTGGTCTTGACTCGGATTACGAGGGCAACACGGAAGTTGATGGAGAAATTGTCAAGACGGAGAGTAACGGACGGACGTACTTTGTGGATGAAGTTGCCGATGAAAAGCGTCCTTTCCGTTGTTACCTTGATTGTGGTCTTCGTACCACTACGACGGGTAACCGTGTGTTTGGTGCTCTTAAAGGTGCTGCTGATGCTGGCTTGGATATTCCACACAGTGAAAAGCGTTTCCCTGGCTACAGTCGGGATGACAAGAGCTATGATGCTGAGGTTCACCGGGACCGTATCTTTGCTGTCCACATTTCGGACCACATGAAGGAACTGGAAGAGGATGACCCTGAAATGCTTGCTGCTCATTATGCCGAGTACGTTAAAGCAGGAGTGAACCCCGATGAGCTAGAAGACTTGATTACGAAGGTGCATGAGGCTATTCGTGCTGATCCGTCCCCTGCTCCTAAGAAGGATCACTCTTTCGACAAGAAGTACAAACGTCAAGCCAAGCGTTCGCGTCAACAACGCCAGGCTCGTGTTGCTCAGAAGAAAGCCCACGCTGCTTCGAAGAAGGAATAGTGTGGTCAGGACGCTATGAAAAGTCTACTAACTGTTATGGTAAGCAGCAAAGTTCGACACGATGAAAATTCAAACACTTTCCACCATTTTGTTGTTTAAATGTGAGTTTTAATGTTTAAATTGTTTATGATGGGCTAGTAACAACAATAAAAAAGTTAAAACGTGTTTTTAACAAATCTATTTATATAAATGCAATAAGCATGTTATTGTTATAATTGTTCTTACAAATTATAAAACAGTTTCGTTTTGTTATAATCGATTTAATATGGTGAAAATGCCGCTTGGTAAGGATAAAACGATGCCGTTGGCTACGTCGTTACCATCCGGAACCAAGCAATATGGACTTGTTCTACCAAAGAAGAGCTCTATCAAGAAGAAGGTCAGTCGATACAAATTGCATAAATTTCAACTCTTTATGTCTTGCTATCGATATCTCTCTTTGAACGTATTTGAATGATTCTCGTAGGAACTTTCGTCTTCTTTCAATGCATTTGCTGCTGCAGCTAAGAAAAATCACAAGCAAAAGGAAGCGGAAGATGAGACGGATGTCCGACGTCGTGTTGGGGCTGAAGCGGCTCGTAGTTTGCAGCAGAACCAAGTAGATCGAGTCCGAGCTCAAGCATTAGCGGAAGATGCGGCGGTTTTTGAATACGATGCAGTATACGACGATATTAAAAGTGCAAGAGAGAATGAAGCTATGAAACATGCAGCTAAGCGAGAAATGGAGAAGAAGAAGCCCAAGTACATTCGTACACTCTTACAACAAGCCAAGATTCGAGAAGTAGAGAACGAACGTATTCGTGAACGACGACTGCTTCATGAGCGACATGCTGATGATGCACAGTATGGAGATAAGGAAAAGCTTGTGTCGGCATCGTATAAAAGAAAATTACAAGAGATGCAGAAATGGGATGCCGAGGATGCACGACTTGCTGCTATGGAGGAGCACGAAGACGTGACGAAGCAGGGCGAACATGCAATGGCTGGATTTTACGTCAATCTCAACAAGAATATTGCCATGGGCGGCACGACAGCGAATGCACGCAGTGCTTACACGCCAAAGGAGACACAATCTGTGAAAGATAGAAGTGTAGAACCGGCTAGAGCTGAACGAGGCCACGAAAATGACGGTGCAATCGAACTCGAATCAAAGACTCATGACGACGGAGCGACCAAGAAGGCGAGAAGCGTTGAGCGATCAGATGAACATCTCTCTTCATCCGTTCGCGACATCGTAGAGGATGTTCACGTCAAGACAAACGCTACAATGCGTCAAACAGAAGAAGTTAAGGAACCGAAAGCGAGCAAAGAAGACGCGATTGCTGCCGCCCGAGCGCGCTTTTTGGCTCGCAAGGCCCAGCAAAAGTCTTCTACTACTTAGCAAAACTTTCAACACGTAAACGTGTTTCAATCAAAAGACCTGAACAATTGGGTTGTTGAATGATTCATCTTAGTAAGTGCTGAAAATACTGTTCATCTATTAGCTGTACTTCCGCTTCAACTATCTACATACACATGAATAAAATAAATATCAAAGGTTTGTTCGAGCTGCTCAGTGCACATTAATGCACCGACTGGTTCAAGTGGTGCAGCTTGAGTAGTGACGTCGCTGCAAGCAGCTCCAAGTCGTAAAGTTGTGGAAGGCGATCCTTGTCCCACGAAGCAGTGGTCAATTTCGAACGTTTGCGCGTGGCAAAGTTTTTTTTGTGCTTCGTTTCATCCAGTGGAGATGTGGTAGAAACCGTGGAAAGCGACGAACTAGCTGACCACGAGCGTTTACGAGGCGAACTTGGTGGACTGGGTACAGGTGATGGTGATACCAGCTGATGCAGATTAGCTGGTACATCCAATTTATTGCCACGCGGACCACCTCGTCCCGTTGATAGAAAATTCTTGACTTCAACCCCCGATTGTCGCAAAACAGGCTGCCATAGCCGCTTCCGAGCGTTTGTAAACCAGTTTGAGAGCTGCTTCACTTCAATACCAGCTTCCGTAGCCAATTCTTCCTTCTCTTCTTCACTTGGATAGGGGTGAGCAAAATGTTCCGGTGAAAACATCCAAGCCTTCAGTACATTCTTGGCTTCCGGATGAAGCGTTCCTCGACGTGTTCCCTTTTTCCGTCTTTGAGCTGACGTCTTATCCATTGTCAATCGGTCGACCTCTCCTTCATCGGCACTGCTAACTGCAGGTGTGTCATTTTCTTGCTCATACAAAGCACTCGAGAACGACGGGAGCCGAAGCTCACGACTTGGTGCACGTTGTGCGGATATGGCAAATTGTAGACCTGGAAGTGAGCTTTTGGCTAGATTAGGCGATGTAACAGGTACCGACTTGCTAGTCAGTACAGGTGATGCCATGGCACTGGATATGGAATCTTCACTAGGATCAGTAGGGGATAGACAATGTTGAGTCGATTTTGTCGGATGTTGTTTCTCAGACGAGTCCGAAGCATTCAGAAAGCGCATGGCCACTTGACGTGCGTGATTCGACGGTTTCATGATGAAAAACTTGCAACGGCTTTTACTTGTTGCGCGTGGTACAGCAGCTTGAGTAATGACGTCAGCGAAGAAACTTGCCTGTTTCGTCTGGACGGGACTATTAACGATACCCAGAAAGTTACCAAACCAATCAGAGTGTCGTGTGCGACGCGGCGATACAACACGAGACAGGGGGACAAGATGTTGTCGGGTGGATTCTGGCTCCTTGTCGAGGGTTCAATGCTATGAAAGCTGTGGTCGTGCAGTCGTAGATACTTTCGATCCCTATCAACTAACTTTGAAATGGATGCAGTTTTTTTTCTGATGCAATGGGACTTGTTGTTATTCTAGCAAAGGTGTGCAAGTTACTGCAGATTGCAAAGTGAAAGGCTCTATTGATTCTAATGCTATAAGGTCTTGGTCGGTTTCTCTCTCTCTCCTGGCGCCAGCGCTGAAAGGCCAAGCGACCACCTGGGCCGATCTGTACGTCTCTTGGCGATGCCGCGACAAAGAGACTGACCTTTTTGACCTAGTTTTAGTCTTCGTAACGGTTTCAGATGAGAACCATGTACTTGATGCACCCAATTTCAATCTTTAACATTGTAAGAAGGAACATATAGAGGCGTGAAAATGGGCAATCCCATGATGGTCATCAAAAGGAAAAATCTCGAGCTGTTTCTCAGCGAAAGCACTGCACTGGCGTTTGCCCGAGTCAGCGCACGACATTGCGAAGAGACGAAAATCTTTCTATTTGCGCTTGACGACCAGCAAATTTGCTTATCATATCATCGCATTGACCTCAAAGCCGTAATGTTGTCGTGAACAAACACTTTTGACATCTCGAGATGTCCATCAAGCTGCCTTTGGTACAAGATGCCCACCCACTCTACCAAGCAAAAACGGACGAGACGTGAAAGGGCGTTGACGACGATCCTATTGAATGGCAGTTACGCCTACTTGACCGGCAGAGGTGTATAAAATATACCCAAAGGTTTGCTTGCGACTACTACAGTATGCTGCCACCAAAAAAAGGGAATCAAAGAACATCGTTCCAAAGAAGAAACGTAGAGGGCCTTCATTCCACTGTGATTCTCTTCTTGTTCGCTGCTGAAAACAAAACTCAGCGACCAATGCTCGATATTTTGCATAACCCATCAATTGATATGCCTCCATCGTATCTTTGTCCTTGTTGTTCTCGGCGAACGCGTGGCGCTTGGCGCTTTTTCACACTGCAACGTTACCGAGTAGTTGCTACCCCGTCAGCCACTGCCGGTGAGCCGCAGGGTAAACTTAGTAACATTTCTAGACGACCGGTTCGATGCCCAAACTCACTGCAGAGCCAGCAACCAAATTTGTATATAAGGCATAGCATTAAACTTGATGGTCAGGATACAAGTCATGTAACTACGGCGAGCAACAACTTGCGACTGCGTCATATCTCATTCAACGCTTTGTGACGTGGAATCTGACACGATCTGAGGCGGAAAACTCTAAGGTAGTGATTCTATTTGTTCTAGGAATGGATTGGGTCTGCTTATTATACATTCAACAACGTGTACGCACAGGTCAATCAATACATGTATCGAGGAAATAAATGCTGTATGTACAGGAGGAAAGACGAATCGTAGTGCGCTTACTAACTGGTGATTGACCGCTATCGTCTTTTATCCCACCTATTCTTTACTTAAAGCCCACAGGGAAAAATGTTTGCTATGCAAGCTTCGTCATCTGTAGCGCTATAGATGCGCCTTCCAGCCGTTTCGTGGTGGCTTTGATTCAGCTCGGTACTTGTTACGAGAGCGCAGTAGTTTAATTCTCATTGTCAGTATAGCAAAAGACGTAGGATGCCAGCAAATTGCAAAACAATGCCAGGCCTTAGATACTTTACATTGGTCTTCTACATTGAACATATGCGATAGTACTATCAACTGAATCAAGAAAGAAGTTGAACGGCCACAGACACACAAGAAACAAGTTGGGCCAGATCACAATTGCATGACGTGGTACAGCAGTTGGATTTTCTTCACTGATTCCTCTAAGGAAGCGGTCACTACTACCACTGCCAAAGAAATACAATTGACCATACTGTTGTGATATGATGCAACACACACGACGATGGCCGAGGTGAGGCCTTCCGTGAGTGAAAGCAAAAATAAGCTGGCTAGTTGAGTCGTAGATCAGCAAGATGCGCCCACTCTACTGTAAAGGTAACTATGATACCGTATTTTCTAGTCGTTGCTGTCTTGAAGTATTTTGCTACAAAACAACGAGACGAGGGAGCTGCAGCAAACGAACATGATTCGATGGTACGTTAATAGTTTAAAGCTACCACGTAGTACAAACGTCAGACGTAGCGAGTTTTCACTTTATAGTGCTTGCCTGTGCCTCAATGATTCGCTTTTGTAGGCCGCTATGGCATGACATTCAAATTCAAGCATCAAAGTGGACATCTTATACGTTCTTATTTACCGTTAGTAGCTGGCTATCTATTGTATCCTGTGTAAAAATGGTTATAGCTGTTGTCTCGAGATTGCGCTTCAATCAGGTGATCATGCTGAATTCCAATCTTTGGTGGCGGCTGGGATTTAGTCGACTGGATCAAAGATCTCGACATAAGAGCATTGGTCGTGACTATACCTGTCATCAACATCGGCAATTACAATCACTTGACTGCACCTTATAAAACAGTATTCTTATGAAAACGTCGTTAAAGATGTTGAATAACGGGAATGTGTTACTTATTGCTACGCGGATTCGACAAGTATACGCCGAGTTGATTCAACTCAGCGCGAGAAGACCACAGAATGTCTTTATGCGATCAGGTAACATCTGCAGCTAAAGCATAAATCTGTTCAATAATGGCATTGACCACTACCCTGCAAAAATCAAAAAGTGGTTCCCGGATTGAGTTGAGCTTTGCTTGTAGCACGTTTGCCTTCAAACGTCATCATTGCATAATGTAAAACGTTCCGTTATGGATCAACTCCAATGGGAGCCCATTGCCTTTGCGATGAAAAATGTTGTCGAAGGAGTTTGTACGTTAGTTACGGTAGGTAATGCACGAGATGCACGAAATGTCGACAAAAGACTGCAACGTTCACAATGACGTGTGTCGATATATTGGTGCTGGCAAAGTGCCATAGAGGTCACCTCATTGCCGACAGATTTTGCCCCATCAAACTGGAGGTACCGTTTTAGGCATCATTCCAAGACTTGCACACACGATCAAATTAATCTAGTGTCTTGCTCATGTTCGTGATTCCAGTCGCAGCACTAAGTCCAACTGACTATCATTGTCGAACGATTGCCAGACGTACAAGTAACGACCAGGCAGGACCAAACAAAGATACGCATCTTTCATTTCAGACATAGGAAGCTGCACAAGCCTCATGGTCAATCGCTGGACAAGTAGAATTTGATTCGACCATATCTGCTATCTTCCTTTGCGCTGGAATACGCCGCAGCATCTAGTCAACCGTTCTCTGACGACAAGGCCCGGTATAAATGTGGCAGCAGTGACGTCGGCTCCTTTTCGTGCATGAGGTCGCCAATGTCGAGCCGGCCAACGCGCCACATGCAGTAGCGGCCACCAGTATAATTATCATTAGACCGTAGAGGTGAAGGACGTGGCGTTTGGCGCCGTAGCTAATACCATAAGTCGGTGGTTCGTATGCAATTTGTACGTCGAGAACAAAGTTTCGAGATCGCAGACGTTGTGCACCATTAGCCGCAGTGCCGAATCCTTCTCGCTGTTGAAACACGGTGTGCTGATTAAGGTGAAGCTGCGGCATCTGCTACCAGTCCAAAGCAACTTGGAAGTCTCGTTCGACCGTCTGGTTGTCTGGTTTGCCACAATGTAAGGTGCAGCAAGTGCAGCGTTCAGTAGGAGCATTAAAACTAAGCTTCGCCGCTGTCAGTCGTGTGTTATCGAGGCTAAGGAACTATCGGCGTGGGAGGTCGCCCAGCACGTTGCCTTCGAAGCTGAAAACGCGGACACATACATACCTGAATAAGCCGTGCAATCAGCATCACCACCAACCTCGTCAAAAATCACCGAGCGGGTGATCTCTTCGATGAGCCATTGCGTTGCACACTCGAATGGTTGCTATGCTGTAAGCCAGGCGTTGCATCGTCGTCTCAAGGACAGAATCGACGAGGACCCCCATGCTCGTTCTTGGTCCGTGTCGTGACAACCGTATACTCGTCTACTGCAAACACGAAAAGTAGTGAGCTCCACCCTTCGTCATTCCTGCCGAAGCGGCCATGACGGTTGATAGTTAAAGGCACCGTCGTCTATCGGGTGACCACGGCTAACTGTAATATATTATGCAGATCAATGAAGCAGCTCTATGACTGTAATTTGCTTTGCGCGTGCATCGAACATGTGACTGGTGCAGGCTGTCTGCCAAGCGGTTTCAAAGCCCAGGCATCGGAAAGACAGGCTATTTGATGTTTCTGATCGAGACACTCCCACTCCAGCAACTAAGTCCCCGTTTAGGAGCTCATTCAAGTCGACTCTGTTATCGGAGACTTTGGAGCATAAAGAGTTTTACGGTAATGGACGCGGCTCTGCCAAAATGCTTGATTATCATGCCGGAGGCAAAGCAGACATTAACCGACTTGACTGATCGGATCGTATCGGAGACTTTGCAGACGAACGAAAATTTGTACATCGACGACCGCGGTCTTATCGGGAAGAAAGTCAAGTTTCATGAACAAGCCCACTTGAAGTTCGCGTGGACCAGGTAGCAAGACACGAGTAAAAGTAGTAACTTGAATGAGAGAGATCTGAGTCGGCTAAAATTGCTGTCGAACAACGCCGTAAAGCAGCACCAACGCAATCCAATTGCAGTAGGTTCCCACTTGCTATTGTCGATGACGACCACACCAATGCACAGTGAGGGCAAATCTTTGCGATTATGTAAAGGCAGTGGTCTAGCCAAGATGAAGCCGTTTATCGCAGCGATGAGCGCCATGGACGGGTCCGTCGAAGACGTCTCATTTGGCGGCCCTTACTAGGAATTGCGCTACGTGGATACAGTCTACACATATCGATCCAGTTAGCACACGTTCCTCGACTACTTGACCAATTTAGCATGATTTGTATATATCCCTCGAGCTGCTACATCATGCGAAAGCTCATAGAACACAAGATCGAAGCAAATTGTGGACACGGGCAGTCAGAATGCCCAAGCAATTCAGCGTAAGCTTTCTTTTCGCTGCTTTCTCCGGGATCCGTACCTCAAGAAACTGACATGGTCTATAAGTTAGCATGGAGAGGGTGGATTGTAGGCACTTCGTTCTGCAACACTGCGTTTTTATGCGGCAAGAGCGGCATCAAGCTTCGAGTCTAGTGCAGATCTTCTGTCTGTCTTTATGCAGCAAACGGTATTTTCAGTCAAAGTTGTCCATTGTGTCGCCCGAAGAACGTCCCGATCATCTTTTACTTTTCATCGTGTGTCTCTAAACGCACGAAGTTGGTTGGCCATGACATCGTGATTGAAGAGACCAACGTGATAAGAGTCCAATCGTGATCGTGATAACAACGGACATTAGAGACCTAGCATGTAGTAACACAATCTCAAGTAAAGTCATTGACGACGCGTATAACGTGTCCGTACAAATCATATGAATTGAAGTGTTTTAGAAAACCCGTGATTGACTAGAGAGTATCAAGTATAGAGTTCTCTTCCTCATGTTCAAGTCCAGCGCACTTCGTTGGTAATTCATGGATACGAAACCAAGGCCTTGACCAAATTTTCTCTGCTTTCTTTTGCTTCCTTGTTGTCGTGTTGCTGCGAAATGTAGGATTCAATCAGCAGAGAGTTTCAAGTAATCCCTGCTGGAATTGGCAACAAGTTTTACACAACCACCATTGAGCTGCTATGTGATGGCTTGATTCAAGGAGTCAAATGGCTGTATAAACGTGAAGGGTGTTGCCATCCTTTCCATGTTTATTCGTGTTACATGCATGTGAATACATTAAATGGTAGATCAGCTTCGGGTCGTCCTCGACATCAAAAGTTCACTTCTATTCACAGCATTTGCTTGTCAATGTGGCGAGCAGGAATAATTAGAGAAGAGAATATTTGTCGCAGTGTTCCATTTCTGCTCCCTAGGCACCGCGTGACCAGCATGAGGTTAATGTCTCTTCTTGCTAAAGTGGGTTCTGGTCCAAGATTTGTTAGCGTGACGAACGACATGTATGCTTGTGGCCAATCTCCCGAGAACGAGTGCCCTGTCTTTCAAGTCTCCTGCGGACCGTACGATGCATCGATCGTCAACAGCATTGGCCACTTCAAGACTTACTCTGTAACGACTAGTGTCCGTCCAAAAAGGATGGTTTTTAAGGACTCGGACACATTCATACCGGATCAAATCAACCTCCCTAAAGAACGCCAACAAGCATTGACCGAGATGGCCGATCGCGTAGTGGCCGAGACGCTTTGTGCGTACGAACATTTCATTGCGAACAATCGGCAGTTGGACTCTCGTCTGTGGAAACATGTCAAGTCCCGTGAAAAGGTTCACGTGTATCGCACCCGTCGTTCTGGTTCCAAGCGACTTAATCTCATGAACGAGAAACGACCAAGTAGACCACGGTTGTTGTCAATTAATACGATAGAGCAGCAACAACATCAAGCGAATATGGCAGGACGGCCACACGGGTTCACCCCCGACGAGGAAGATGAAGAACCCGAGCAAGCTGTGGAAAATTCTTCCAGCAATCATTCGCAGACGCAGCAATCTACATATACACAGAGCTCATCAAGTGATTGCGGTTCCTTCTCGGTTTTTCCTGATGAGAGTGTTCTTGAAAAAGTCAAGCCGACAAATATTCCGTTAGTTGCAGCGGTCGGCAGTATTGACGGGTCCGTGGAAGACGTGGCATTTGGAGCGCTTGCACACACAGACGAAGCTTGGTTTGAGCGCAATGCGTACGTGAAAAACGACGGCTTTGTGTGCCGCAAAGTGCTCGCTTCGTTCCAGTCACCGAGTGAGGAAGACCCGTTCCGGTATGTCGGCATCAAATGGGCTGCTCTTGACATTACCACCTTTGCCTCTCGACGCGATGTCGTGTTCTTAGAGTCGTCGGGGATTGCGTTGGACTCGGATGGCGAGCGAGTGTACTACACTCTTGCTCACTCGATCGAGTTGGACGAGTGCCCCGTGCCCCCTGATCGGTTTAATATCGTTCGTTTAAATTTGTCAATCTGCTACATTATGCGTCAGATCTCCGACACTAAAATCGACGCGTATGCTCGAGGGTATGCAGACATGGGCGGTAACCTACCAGCAGTCATTGGTTTGAATGTGTTCTCACAGGGCGTAGTTGACGTCGTAGGGATTGTCGAGGCCTCGTACCTCAAGAAACTTGCGTGGCAGCTGTCCCGCCGTGGTCCGAGCGACACATCATCCCACCAGACCAAGGAGTGCTCTGTGTGCGGCAAAAACGCCAAGAAAATTGCCAGCCTCATCCAAAGAGCCATCTGCGCAATATGCCGACATACAATCTGTCAGAAGTGCAGCGTGCACAAGAAGCTGCTCATGAAAGCTGAAGAAGACCTCCAACGTCAATTTACTTTCTGTGTCCCGTGTGTGATTGAAGCCAGAAGGATGTCGGCTTGGGACGTTGCTACTGCGCAGCTCAAGTGTAGTAGCAACGTCCAAAGGAAGGAATGAGATAGTAGCGAGGGAAACGTACATCGATCTGACTAGTGACTAATGCAGCCGTAAATTTAATCAATCTAGACAACAGCACATGTACGAAAAAGCTGATGCCGTCTTACCCTACTTAGCTTCATGGAGGATACAACGATATGGTCCTTTCTTCGTAGTGGCTGGCAAAGCCTTAACTGCAAGATAAAGCGAAGCAAGGGCCCTCTTTTTCACAAAGGTGGGCACCGATTTACGAGCGTCGCGCAAGACACATCAAGGAGAGACGATGCTGATTAGTAATTACACAGAGCGCAAGGCTAATGAGATGAATCCTCTTCATCTGGACACGAGGCGCATTACACCTAACGACCATCTCAAACTATGCTCCCGCTGTTAGATTCTTATGTCGGCTGTTGTGCGTAAAAGTTGTCGCGACCAAAGCGTCACCATATCCCTGCTGCATCTACCTCCATTGCTTCTGTACGAGTGCAACCTACAAATTATATCGAAAGCAGAGGTGCCGCAGAGGAATCACCACGCCGTTGTACGCTAGCTACAGTTTGTATCAAAGCGTACTTCGTAAACCGTACTGGTTCACAATGGTATCTGCTGGACACAATCTCGACGGCACCAAATATTTTGTCGGCAGTCCACGACTTGGCGACCGCCTCGGCTTTAGCCTTTGCATCATAAAGCACTCAACACAGGTGTTGATATGCTCACTTGTCCCAGAGCAATAGAGAGCACGTGGCAGATAGCCTATTCATACAAGCCTCCTTGTCAATGACCTCCGATTCGATAGACCGCTCTTTGTTTGTAGGCGGGGTTTCGTCTGACGCAGCACTGCGGCAGCGTGGTTATGCAAAGAATCCTTTCATCGAAATGCTCTGCAATACAAGTCATGGACGGGAAGTTGGAATTTTCCAGTGCTTAATCGCAATGGTGACAGCCGAGGCAAAGCGCACAGCAGTCAGCACACCTGGCGGATCACTCGATGCTATAGAATAGCTATTTTTGATCCACACGGCCTGACTCTTCCACGACGTACCTCGTGCTGCTGACGGTGTGCTAAATTTATCGACGCTGTGGGCTACTAGCTTTCGAGGTCCCAGTCACCCGACGACCGATTTTCCATCTATATCTTAGCGACGCGACGAGGCGACAAAGCTATTCATATGTGACGTTAGCACAGGAGCTTTTCCCAGCTGCTGAAGTCGGTCGCTGCAGTAACAATCAGTCATTTCGCAAAGCACTCTTGCTCGATTACTCACTACTTGATTCAAGTTGTGGGAGTAATGCGATTTCTAAATTCGTGGGATGCCGGCCATCTCTTTCCACCTCAGGAGTTAGTGCTCACACGCACCGACACGGAGCAATTTGAAGCAATGAGCGACCAACTTGTCGCTGAAACGTTGCAAGCCAGCGAGGACTTTATAGCCGACGGTAGGTCCGTTGACTTGGACCGATGGAAAATTGTAATGGAAAAAGGAAGCATGACGGCTTATCGATCACGGTCCCGCGGTCAGCGACGCGGCCGACATGACACGGAAGAAGCGGTCGAATCGTCGTTTGTGCATCGTCCCAAATTATTATCAGCCGACAGCTCCTTGAGCGACTTGATGGGACGTAGCAACACGCACTTGTCGTACGGCTCGTCACAAGACGACGGGTCGTCATTCGATAGTGTGCACTACTATGAGGACAGCCGCATTGACACGGAATCACTGGAACAAAGTGTTCTTGGCAAGTCACGCCCTTCAAATACACCTATAATTTTTGGTGGTGGTGTGATTTCAGGCTCAGTGGATGATGCAGGACTCGGCTTTCTAGCAAATACCAAAGACCGCAGCGTCATGCGTGCCGCGACCAGCATGGATGTGAACTTGAAAGACAGTCGCATCTTGGCGCAAATTCGTGGGCCAATACAGCAAGATCCGTTTCGATTCTTGGGTATCAAGTGGAACTCCTACTCGTCAACTAAAGCAGGAAGTATCGTGTCAAAGCCAAGAGATGTCGTGGTGCTTGAGTCCATAGGTATGACACTGGACTCGACTGGAGAACGAGTGTGTTACTTTCTAAACCATTCGATAGAAATTGAGGAAGTTCCGGAATTCCGCAAGAATGGGCTAGTACGTTTTCGCATGTCAAGCTGTCGAATTATGCGGCCATCCAATAGTCAAGGCGAGCTGGAGGTTTATTTTCGAGGGTATTGCAATACTAGTGACCACTTTAGCATCGGGTCATCGACACATTTTTTCTGTCAGACCTTGCTAGACACTGTACAAGTTGTCGAGGAGTCATATCTTAAGAAACTCGCGTGGTTTGTGCATGTGTATCCCCAACGTCGAAGTAGCCACGAAAACGCTGAGAAACACGAAGGGTGCGCGTGCTGCCGCAAGCTACCTAATATAGGGTTCAAGAAGCTGCTGGAGAGCAGCAAAACGTGTTTCTTGTGTCGACGTAAGGTTTGCAAGAAGTGCATTGTCAAGAAGTACTTGTACATCGTCTCGACAAGCAAAAAGCAGCGTCTGGAATTCTGTTTAACTTGCTACTTGAAGGCAAAGAAATTGTCGGCGTGTACAGTTGCGGTAGCAACACTCCCTAGGTCGTAAGAAGATTCATCGATACCTTTTGCATAAACCCCACCAGATAGTGAAATAGTAGTTTGTTGAGTTTTCTTGTCCACCAAAGCAGTCGCTTTCCTTGCTATAGATATTTTCTCAAGCATAGCTTTTGGAGTATTGCTACTACTAGGCTATTGCATTGCTCAACTGCCACTATTGCACAAAACTTCATCGATCAAAGTTCGACAACGCTTTTGTCTATATGCGTAAAAGCGCTACATTTCTTACACTGAAGCCTTCTTTGATAAGTGAAGCCCATTCAAGATTCTAGTCTGTGCCAGTCGACACGCTTACAGCAACGAGCGACACTCCTAGCGAACCGATTTTAAAGGACGTAGGTAAAGCCAAACGTGTCTGGACGCAACTTATGGCGCGTCCTCGCGACGATATGTCAAACACGTATCTGAATAGACACAGGAATGCAGCCGTCTACAAGGCTGTCACTCTTTACCTTCCCAGCAGCATCGCCACCTATTGGCTTACGTGCAATTGCGTAAAGAGAGCATCGAATAATTGCTTCAGTCATACATGGTGATGTGCTTTATGCATGCGTCGAGTTGCTAGAGTGCGCCTCTAGGACCACCAAGTGCAACGGTGACCAGCCACGATATACCAATTGTCTGTGGCCTTAGTATTAATGGCTGTGGTCATAGCGGTTTCCCTAGTTTTATCTACCATGATGCAATCTTCGTACGCCAGCGAGCTATCATGACGTAATTCTGGCCTTCACCTCGTAGTCGACTTGCTCTGATTTTTGGTCGGATCTTAGGGTCCAACAGGCTCGGATGAACAACATGATAATACGTAGGGAACCGTTGTCTTCCCTCGACGTACTCATCTACTTAAATTGACACTTACAGTGCCCGAATTTCGTTTACCATTCCTTGAAACACAAAACTGTTCTAAGGAATGGGAACTTCTGTCCCATCTGAGACTTCGTTCGCCTTACGAAGACACCCGCTCAAATTAGGTGCTGGTTGCCGGGATCGCAATATTATAGCGTGCCATTTGTCGGGAACTGAAACTGGTGGATAGTCACACCGGTAGATGGCAAAACGATTTCGTTTCGTGATGTGTTAATTTAGTACATTTTGAGACATGGACATATAAATCTGGAGCAGCTCTCAATCCGCATCCATCTTCGCGGATTTAGAATTATGGACTATCCACCTAACTTGAGGGATCAAGTATCTGGTCCAATGCTACTGTACATTAACACGATCTTAACGGGGTCATCACGTTCTTATTGAAGTTCTTTTGTCAGACCGGGCTCAAGCTAATCGATGTGCAGGGTGATTCGATCCATTGTCGACGTGTTTCACACCTAGGAGATGATGCGGACCGCTTCAGTTTCAAGTTGCGCGCTGCGCTGCCTACGCAGTGAGGATAAACCCTCCCACCCCTTGTCAACATTGGGGGCTTCCCCCGTAAGGTAAGTGGGCCAGTCCTGGCTTTCTGGAGTTTCTCATCTCTGTCCGTTGTCGCCTTTGGCTGCCGATGGGTAAGTGACGTACGTACGTACGTGCTTTCATGTGTGACATTTTCAACAATTGGTCGCTCTGTTGTGCATTCATGTTTATATTGCCTGATTGTATACATGTGTTGGTTGGATAGGAACATCTCGAGAATGTGCTCGGTTCCAATGCATCAATTTGAAAATTTATCCATTCCGCGTTTGACTACGTAGTGTTCCTTTTGATTTCCCATGGGTTTGCTTTTTTTGGTGATCCTGACTTTGTTCTTGCCGAGCTGTGCTGGTGCAAACCTTCGCAAGTTAGGCGTTGAGGCGGCTGCAATGAACAACTCTCGCGCACTGTCGGCCGTCTCTAGACATCTTGCCAATGTCTTGGATTTAGCCGAGCTCTGGCCAGAGGCGCTTAAAAATTTTGATTCAACTACAGTCACATTCTCCGCTGATATTGATACAATCTCCCGTGACTTTGAAGAAGTGGCAAAAATAGCACACGACCCACGAGACATCATCGTGAACAACAAGAAGGTAGAGTTGGGGCTTGATCCGCTTTGGGTGCGAATGGAGAAAAGTGCTTATGATAAATTGAGCGAAAATGGGCTATTAAGATTACTGTTATTGGAATTCGAGAAAGGATATCGGTGGAATAATGACCAAATCTTACACAAACAATCCGGAACATCAATGAAATTAACAAGAACCAAAAAGGAGATAGCGGAGATCGAAAACAGAGGAGGCAAATCTCCTCTTATGACTTCCTCAATTGGCAGACACGGACAACTGGTTGAGAATGGTGAGAAAGTGATGTCATTTTGTATTGTTTTACGACACAAGGACGGGGGACCTCTTGTGAGACGGGTAGAAGGTAAAGAAGGTTTGTGGTTCGCCAATAAAGAGGATGTCGAAATGGTCATCATATCGAGCTCGAACCAAGCCAAGTCCAACTGGATCACTGTAAAGGGAGGCCGAAATATAGGTGAACAGCCAGAACAAGCGGCATTACGCGAGACACTGGAAGAATGTGGAGTACGTTAAAGCCTCATGACTATTGTAGGTGCACTAATTCCTCAATGCTGACGTCTCGTGTGTAGTTTGCAGTAACAATTCGAAAACGACTCGAGAATAAGGTTGTTGTTAAACAGCCAAAGAAACCAGGTGACAAAGTAGAAATGAGTCGGTGGGAGACTTGGGTCATGGATGGGGGCGAAGGTCAGGGCATACAATACGGAAAAAAAGAGGGTGAAGCAGTGGGCAAAGCGTATGAAATGTTTTCTGAGGACGGACGTTTGCGCGGGTTGGTAAGAGGACCATATTGTGGGGTGCTGTATTCAAACGCGGGAAACTAATCTTGATACTGGTTAGTTTGCTTTCGACGATGCAGTTGCGTTGATAAAACACAGTGATCCCGTAATGGCTGCAAATGTGATGGAAGTAGAGGAACTGTTTGGTAAAAGACAAGACGATAAGGACGCGATGCTTGCCGGGCTGAAGCTGGAGTTGCCTGAAGAAACGTAGCCGGAGGTTTAATTGCAATCGTCCTTGAACTTTCGAGACAGAATGCAAGTAACTGTGCAGGTACTTTGCATTGATGAATGTTCCTTTTACATGTATCAATGATTTCTTTCATTGTGCATCCCACTTGTCCACCACTGGTCCGGTATGGGCCGTATTGGTACTTGGCATGCAAATTGCTTTTGCTGGTTCATTTCTAGTGCCGTTCCATAGTTTTCTTATGATTAATCATGGTAGTCGGGTAATCTGCGATCTGAAATGAGACAAAGCGACCATGTCAGCAGTCTCACTTTTTTGTCACTGGTAGTGCCGCTTCTCCGAAGCGAACAGTACGTCGTCCGTGAATGTGGCAATCTTCCATGCAATCTATTAGTATTTGCTTCCATCAGTTGCAAAGGCTTGAGTGCAGTCACTGCATCGACCTTAGCAGGCAATTCTGTCTCATATTACGAGGTGAGCATAAGCTCACATTCTTCGAGTTCATCTGGGCATGCTGTATTCCCTTGCGACAAAATGTTTTCAATGAAATGAAGCTGGTTAAGTTCTGCCTCCTGTAGATTTTGCTGCCTTGGCATTTGCTCATGACGCTCGTCAATACAATGGAGTGTGCGACCTCCTACAAGCTCACATGGATGATGAGGCAATCGTCTCGCCAAGCTCGCTCAGGTACTGGCGTTCACGGGTCAAGTAGCCACTGTTCCAATTGCACGCGCAGTCTCAATAAGCTGACCAACCTGCTGCTTCAGCGCGGGGGGTCGTGTCAAATCTGCCGCCGTTCGTACTGCGGCAAGTGCTCGGTGTACAAGAAGATTTCGATTGGCATTGGCAACGAGGTGATGCAGAAATCCATGCTCTTCTGTCTCGAGTGCCTCTTGGAGGCCAAACAAGTCTCTGCTCACGAAGTGGCTGTTGAACAGCTGAAATGGTAGGTGGCTCCTTCTCACGAGGTCGTTTAGACTAAGAGGGTGAAGTACTCAATGAAGAGACCACGGCAGCCATAAGCTATTGCGTCGAAGCACATTGGTCTCGGGAACGTTTGGAAAGCGCGTTGAGTCGTACCGTAGCGTGTGTCCTCAAGCTATTTGTAGATAAATCTTGCATGGCAATGGAAGAGATCTTCATGCTCAATTGTTGTAGTCATCCTGTTTTATTGATACAGTCAGGTATATTTCGTGTTATTTTGAGCAGGTAAGAGATGAGATTATCGTGCTTCGACATCATTGCTAAGATGATCCCAAGTAGAGGGTCAAAGGCTTGCATGTTTCTTAGGCCAGGTAGAGGGTCAAAGGCTTGCATGCTTTTTGGGCCAAGGTCCTAAACTGAGCTGGCTGGCTGTACATGTAACCAGATTGGTTTGAAGCCACGAAAATGAGAATGAGCTGAGTAAACACACCTCTACATCCTGAACACTGCTCTAAACGCCCACATTGAAGCCACGAGCTGATCTCACAACAGTTTCGTCACAGATTATTTCCTGACGTTCGTGTCAGTTTTGATAACTAATGCGGTAGGACTAGACATCGTGAGCATTCTGGACGATACTCTCGGATCCGTGTTCATTTGTGTTAGCAAGCTAAGACGTTACCGACATTCTAGCTCAAAATCTACCCCAGCTCGTATATAAAACGCTACCGCAGCACAAACGTCTTTTGATTCCTAAGCTCACCCGCGGCAAGTTTGTCAAACCAAGAGGCCACCCGAAAGAAAACCAGTGTATCCCATCAGTAGTTTGGTGTAGAGTGACGGGCCGGATTTGGCCATGCTCGATCTCCTTCAAGTGGCCTTCGATTATGCCTTTGCCGAAAGGCCTTCAGCTATAGCTTTTCAAACATGGTGGTGCCTGTCTAAGGCGCAGGTGTCGAGGTTAGTCCTATATTGATAGGTAAGTCCGGGGATAAAAGCAAAAGGGCTGTTGCTCACCGTCTCAGATTCGCGTCCGAATGGGGGTGGGTCCGGAGGTATTTGCACCCGCAATACGAATTCCACTAACCTCGTACGCTAAATTTGCAGTTGCTCGAAGGTTCAGTTCTCAATCCTGTTGTGCCTGGTCCTGGACGGCATGTTGCCACCCCTCGTCGCTCCACGAGGTCATCTAGTCTGTTGTTGAGGCGAACCGTTCTGCCAGCTCTTGCAATAGATCCTGAGAGGCGGTGCCTGTAGTTTAGCCTGAGCTATCGTCACTATTGTTTCGTCTGAATCCTGACTGCTCCGATGAGCCCATACCCGCCAGGCAGCAAAGTATTATCTGGATTTTGAGTAAGCCAAGCCACCGTATGCTTTGTTCGTTGTGACTTGACCGCTACTGAAACTGCCGCTAGCTCAATGCCTCCCACTTGATTTAGCGTCACAAGCAGCCCGAGATTTACCTTGTGGCAACTGCTTTTCGTCGTTGCTGCATGCGCCCACAGAAACTGCTTGTAAATTTTGTGCAATCCCTTTTCCGCCCATTGAGGTGTTTAAAAACTATCGCAATGGATAATAATGTTGGAAGCACAATGGAGTTGTCGGTGGATATGGGATTCTTCACGTTGGCATTTGTGTCGCTGTTAAAAACGCCTTTAGATCGTTTGAATCCTCTGGGCCCAGGTCTTATTCACTAACTCTTCAGTTCCAATCTCATAGCCCAAGTACCGAGTTATTTCGCCCGTGCGGATGACACCGATGCCCTCGTACCGCTCGAACTTGACAGACCGATTCAAAAAGAGCAGCTGAATCTTTACCGGTTGAACATGTAGACTGGAAACAGCGCCAAATGCTCGTATGACATGCATAGCATAGGGAATTGGTTCCGCTTTCTCCAGGAACAGGGTGGTGTCATCCATAAATGCCGAGTAAAGGTAGGTCTGACCGACCTGCCCGGGCGCTTGTAGTCACGTAAAGATTGGGGTCCTGCTGAAGTGCGAGACCCAAAACCGCAACTACTAACATAAGCAAAAGAGGTGCTAGAGGACACCCTTGTCGAATCCCTGACCGAACCAGAAGAAGTGCGGAATGACAACCGTTTACGACGAAATTGGCTGTCGTGCTAGTGTGAATTCGACGAATTAAGCAAGCTCTATCGGGAGTCGCTGATAGCATAAGGTAACGTAGGTTGTAATCGCGTTGCCAGCACCTTGGCAAACACCTTGTAGCTCGTTTGTAGTAAAGACATCGGTCGATAATCCATCGCGTCGTCCGTGTCACCTTTTTCTCCCAAGAAAAAAATGAGGCTATTAGAAAACGAGGAGGGCAGATTCGCCCCATTGCAAGTTTGGTTGCTGATGATGACCAGAACTGGACCAGCAGCGCTGATGTATCTCTGTAAAGGTTGTTGTTCAAATCATCCTGGCCGGCCGCTTCGTGCGCTACTCAGTCCGTGCATGGCTAAATGCCTTAGCTTCTGTAATCGGACGTGAAAGTCGGTTATTGTCGACAGCAGTTTAGTGCTGTTCCTTCGGGATCGTCGCACAATTCTTTAGAGTTGTAGGTAAGACTTCCAGATCGATGGTAGGAGCTTAGCACTTGTGCCCATTCAGATGCAAACTTATCTGCAATGGACATATGTCGCCCAAAGGCGACACATGTCGCCTTTGCGGCCCGTCGCCAATGATCAATCCAGCGCTTCTATACACGCCCAACCACGCGGGAGAAGTCGGGCTGGCCTCCATACTGGTTCCATGCAAAACACACGGGTGAAACACGCCATACGGTAGCCCACCACCGCAAATACATCTATCTTATGTCTGACAGGCATAGACTTTCAGTGGAGCAACGCAGAAATGGACAGCTGGAGTACCTACGCGCCATGAAAGGAAACGGCAGCTATCCAAGAATTGCAAAATCCCCGGAAACACATCTTTAGCAGTTGATCGGATCCTTATGTTGCCAACACTGCCGGAACCTAAGGGTAGGCAGCAGCAGTACACCCGGTCGAAAGCCTTACAATTGAAGGCAATTAGCTAGGCGAGCAGACAAACGGGCGGTGGAGCTCTCTTGACCCCTTCATCACACTTCCTGAGTAATGACTTCAGTTGACAAAGCGTTCTGACCTACGTATTTTTTGGCCGACAACGGAACGTAAAAACACCGATAAGGCACTATAGCAAAACTGCATTGCATCGGATTGGGTTTCTCCTTCGTCATTTCGATGGTAAGCGCAACCAGGTATCAACATGCCAAACTATGACGCTGAGGCCTATCGATTCTAAGCTTAGCTGTGGGTGAAGCGCTTCGAGTACGAAAGGACCGACTACCGCGCCATCCCACGCAACTGATAAAGGAACACACATGACAATACACCACGGACTGCATTAATGGAGATTAGCGGAGCGTCATCACTTTGGAGCAAGAAAGCAAAGAAATTCGTTGCAGGATTGCCGCAAAGAACATCGGGGATCAGCAGACGAAAGCTGATTGTTGCTCCGAAAGCGCCAAAACGCAGAGGCGAATCGTATTCTATGCGAATCTGCTCATCCTCGGGTTCTCATGAAGCGTGCCCGGATTGCGAATAAACACGTAGTTATGGTCTTGAAACAACCGTCTAAGGTTCAGAAATGACTTTAACAAGATCTACGGAGACGCTCCAGGATTCAGCGCGGAGAAGTGCGTGGCTTTACAGCAAACGCCAATTACTCTATGGGCTCTTATGAAAGAGCTCACCGCATACCAAGTGTGGATCGCGTATAGAGTGGCAGTGACGCAGCTGCATACCTCTTCCACCCAAAGCACGACACCAAGCCAACAGTTGTCGTAAGCTCAGGAGTGAAAGAAACACTCGAACACATCTGTTGAACAATGCCCGCCAGTGGCATATGAGCTTTCTGCCCGTGCTTGAAAGCGTGTCGGTAGACGCTCATGTGCCACTGGACAGGAGAACGATGAGCACTTGGACGGCTTCAAAGCTTCCTTGCAAACAGTGCAAGCAGCAGACGCGCACCAGGATTATCCAAGGTAGTCCAGAAGCAACTAACTCGTAAAACGATTCAAACGAGGTGGCTGCACACACTGCCGTGTGGGAACGCACATGGCACATCCTTTGCAGTTTTTTTTGCATCACCAGCTTGTGATAGACAACACAACCAAGTAACGTTTCTAGCAAGCGAACGTGATCGTTTTCGCCGCAACGTTAAGAGATATTTTAAAAAAGAGCATGAGAAAACTTTCGAGCCATCGCAAAGCGAGAGTGCCGACGAGCCGAAACATACCTTAAAGGTATCCGTTAAATGCTATGCGGCATAGCCAGACAACCCCGAAAGCCGTTACAGGTGACCAGCTCCGTACAACCACGGCGTTGCTCACGAGGACCGGCGTTGCTCACGAGGACCGGCGTTGCTCACGAGGACCGGCGTTGCTCACGAGGAACTGGCGTACGGCTCTGCTTCGCGCGCAGATTTGCTGCGACTACGCGACTTTGCACACTCTCGCTTTATTGAAGTGATATCTCTTCTAGACGTCGCCCAGCCATTTGTTGTGCTGGATTGTTCTTATCCGTCTCGTCAATATGTTAGAGAGAAAGAGGCAGACGAGTCTGTATACCATTCGTGGTTGCCGGATGTTAATTATTCCGTGACCTCATGAGCAACGCCGGTCCCTCGTGAGCAACAGTGTATGCACGGGTGGATCTCTTCGGTGACCGGACCATGGGACTTACAAGAACGTACTACAATATCTTAGTGCAAGCAGCGGGGCGTTAAAAATATCAAGCGTAAATGTAGCTGAATTGACGCTACCATCTTGACTTTTACGACGAGTGTTAATAAGGCACCTATCGATACAGCAAATCTAGCATGTGATGGGCACCATATGACCTTGTGCCGTAACGTCGTCAGTAGCCAAGTCGATAATAAACGCTATTAATTGCTACGTATTTCTTACGAAAAGTCCATTTACGTACGTGCTTTCATGTGTGACATTTTCAACAATTGGTCGCTCTGTTGTGCATTCATGTTTATATTGCCTGATTGTATACATGTGTTGGTTGGATAGGAACATCTCGAGAATGTGCTCGGTTCCAATGCATCAATTTGAAAATTTATTCATTCCGCGTTTGACTACGTAGTGTTCCTTTTGATTTCCCATGGGTTTGCTTTTTTTGGTGATCCTGACTTTGTTCTTGCCGAGCTGTGCTGGTGCAAACCTTCGCAAGTTAGGCGTTGAGGCGGCTGCAATGAACAACTCTCGCGCACTGTCGGCTGTCTCCAGACATCTTACCAATGTCAAGATCTATCCTATAGAGATGTTTGAAAATGCAGCATCAACTGAAGTCCAAGCAGCGATACAGAAACTTGAAAAAGCAAATATACGCCCAACTCTCAACAAAGTTGAATCACTTAAAACTAAAGAAATGTCACCAGCTCCAGTCACATTTCCCGAAAAAGTTGAATTACGTCTACGTGAATTTGACAATTTGGCACCACACAAACCACGAGAAGTAATCGTGGACGAGAAGAAGTTGATATTGAAACTGGATCCGATTCGGAAGCGAATGGAAAATTATCCTCATGATAAATTGAGCGTAGATGGGCTATCAAGATTACTGGAATTGGAGATCGAAAGAGGACGTCGCTGGGACAGTGGCCAAATCTTACACAAACAATCTGGAACTGGAATGGCGCTAGAAAGAACCGAAGAAGAGAAAGAGGTGATCAGAAGAAGAGGAGGCGCGGCTCCTCTTATGCATTCTTCTATTGGCAGAGACGGACAAATGATTAACAAGTTTGGTGAGAAAGTGATGTCATTTTGTGTTACTATACGTCACAAGGACGGGGGACCTTTTGTGAGACGGGTAGAAGGTAAACAAGGTTATCATTATGCCAATAAAGAGGATGTCGAAATGGTCATCATATCGAGCTCGAACCAAGCCAAGTCCAACTGGATCACTGTAAAGGGAGGCCGAAATATAGGTGAACAGCCAGAACAAGCGGCATTACGCGAGACACTGGAAGAATGTGGAGTACGTTAAAGCCTCATGACTATTGTAGGTGCACTAATTCCTCAATGCTGACGTCTCGTGTGTAGTTTGCAGTAACAATTCGAAAACGACTCGAGAATAAGGTTGTTGTTAAACAGCCAAAGAAACCAGGTGACAAAGTAGAAATGAGTCGGTGGGAGACTTGGGTCATGGATGGGGGCGAAGGTCAGGGCATACAATACGGAAAAAAAGAGGGTGAAGCAGTGGGCAAAGCGTATGAAATGTTTTCTGAGGACGGACGTTTGCGCGGGTTGGTAAGAGGACCATATTGTGGGGTGCTGTATTCAAACGCGGGAAACTAATCTTGATACTGGTTAGTTTGCTTTCGACGATGCAGTTGCGTTGATAAAACACAGTGATCCCGTAATGGCTGCAAATCTGCAGAGAGTAGAGAGACTTTTTGGTACTCAACAACGGCCTAAGGACGCGAAGCTTGCCAAGCTGAAGCTGAAGATGCCTGAAGAAACGAAGCCGGAGGTTTAATTGCAATCGTCCTTGAATCTTCGGGACAGAATGCAAGTAACTGTGCAGGTACTTTGCATTGATGAATGTTCCTTTTACATGTATCAATGATTTCTTTCATTGTGCATCCCACTTGTCCACCACTGGTCCAGTAAGGGCCCAATGTCTTCACTATATGCAGTCACCTAAGTCTATATGACGTTCGAAATGCTTCATTGGCATGACATCATATCATGTCCGTTTAAAAGTTTCTTAATTAAAGTCCTGTCCCTCTATATATTGCGCTGCCGTGGCCTCTTGGTTTGACACTCCTTGCCGCGAGCGGGCGAAAGGAATCAAAATACGTTTGTGCTGCGGTAGCGTTTTATATACGAGCTGGGGTAGATATTGAGCTAGAAATGTCGGTAACATCTTAGCTTGCTAACGCAAATGAATACGGATCCGAGAGTATCGTCCAGAATGCTCACGATGTCTAGTCCTACCGCATTAGTTATCAAAACTGACACGAACGTCAGGAAATAATCTGTGACAAAACTGTTGTGAGATCAGCTCGTGGCTTCAATGTGGGCGTTTAGAGCAGTGTTCAGGATGTAGAGGTGTGTTTACTCAGCTCATTCTCATTTTCGTGGCTTCAAACCAATCTGGTTACATGTACAGCCAGCCAGCTCAGTTTAGGACCTTGGCCCAAAAAGCATGCAAGCCTTTGACTCTCTACCTGGCCTAAGAAACATGCAAGCCTTTGACCCTCTACTTGGGATCATCTTAGCAATGATGTCGAAGCACGATAATCTCATCTCTTACCTGCTCAAAATAACACGAAATATACCTGACTGTATCAATAAAACAGGATGACTACAACAATTGAGCATGAAGATCTCTTCCATTGCCATGCAAGATTTATCTACAAATAGCTTGAGGACACACGCTACGGTACGACTCAACGCGCTTTCCAAACGTTCCCGAGACCAATGTGCTTCGACGCAATAGCTTATGACTGCTGTGGTCTCTTCATTGAGTACTTCACCCTCTTAGTCTAAACGACCTCGTGAGAAGGAGCCACCTACCATTTCAGCTGTTCAACAGCCACTTCGTGAGCAGAGACTTGTTTGGCCTCCAAGAGGCACTCGAGACAGAAGAGCATGGATTTCTGCATCACCTCGTTGCCAATGCCAATCGAAATCTTCTTGTACACCGAGCACTTGCCGCAGTACGAACGGCGGCAGATTTGACACGACCCCCCGCGCTGAAGCAGCAGGTTGGTCAGCTTATTGAGACTGCGCGTGCAATTGGAACAGTGGCTACTTGACCCGTGAACGCCAGTACCTGAGCGAGCTTGGCGAGACGATTGCCTCATCATCCATGTGAGCTTGTAGGAGGTCGCACACTCCATTGTATTGACGAGCGTCATGAGCTTCTCAGCGAATGCCGAAGCAGCGACGTTTACAGGTACGTCGCCATCCAGCTGCAGGAATGCACGAGTAAACATTTCGACGGTGCGATGACGCGAGCCAGCCACGGGGACGCTGTTGTTTGTGAAAGTCTGACACGCCGACATGTGGCCACGAAGTACTTCGGGTGAACGCGGAAGCGTCAGCACGTCCGACAGATCTATCGACTGACGCACACCGTAGCTGACTGTTTCGCCACGCGAGTTCTTTGTAATACCTATAGACTCGAGAAAAACAAAGTCACGAGGTTGACTAAAGCGGCCGTACGTCTGACGTCCCCACTTAACCCCAACGAATGCAAGTGGTCTATCGGGTGTCGGTCGGACCAAAACAAAGAGCAAACGGGAGTCCTCGAGATCCGTACCCAGATACGACTGGCGCATCATGCAGTGCTGTTCCGAGTCGGCCAAGATGCCCAAAGCGGCGTCTTCGGGCGTGCCATCGATCGTTCCCGAAAGCACCACAGCAGGTGGACGCAAAGTCTTCTTGGTACGTAAACGTTCACATTCTTGCGAAGAAGACGACGATGTAACGACAGGGGGTTTGTTCATGGTCGATTTAGAACTTGACGACGATGACGATGAAAGCGCGTCCGACGTCTCGATACGCGCATCGGATGAATCACTTCCGTGCAACACGCGACGCGAACGGTAGGCGCGTACATCATCCTTTGTATGAACAAGTTTCCACGCCGAAGTGTCGAGTTGATGGCCACCTGCAGCAAAAGCTGATCGCAATTCGAGGGTGTTCTGCACCACCGCATCAACTTCGGCAATTAATGAAGCCTGACGCTCTGGAGTGAGCTTGATGTCCGGCAGGGCCACATCATGGACGTTAAATTTTGCCATAATTGAAAGTGATCGATCAACTTGCGAGCTTGGCGTTGTTTGTGTAAATGAAAGAGTCGACGACGACAACGACGACAACGATCAAGCGCCGACAGCCGCCGTGTCCCATCGATTATCCTTATCAAGTATAAAGTTCAGTCGATGCATGGACAGGGATGCAATAGAGCACTGTCCTACAGTGCGTAGGTGCAACGAAATGCTAAAAAGGTGCAGCTCAACGTCCTGTATGAGTGTTAGCACTATCCATTCTAGCGGCAACACTGCAATTGGAACAGCGCATTATTAACGGTGAAATGAATACTAGCTCATTACTTTGCGATCGAGGCAGAAAGCAGCGGATTTTCATTCCACTCTAATCGACCTGATGTCTCTGTGAGTCTCAATTACCTTTGCAGAATGCTAAAGAGATGTCAATGCATTTAGCTGTACCGCTACGCAAGTTAACTTGCACGTGCAGTGATCGCTACTTTTGTGAAGGCGATGGCATCTTAGACGTATAAAATATTACACGACCGGCTCTGCAATCAATTCGTTTTTCAAATTCTAAACGTATTGTTGTGGTTGGGCTTTCCCTGCCAATTGTAGCAGCTATCTGACTGTAGCTTCGCTATGTTCACTTGCTCCTAGCGTGTCAACATGCTTTTTGTGCATCAATGAAGTTGGAAAGCCAGTTGAAAGACTCAAGAAGACCAATGGTGGAGGTGATATAGCCCCATCATCGGAACACAAGAAGAAGCTGTTTGTGCACAGAGTGTACAGATTAGAGACAAAGGTTGGTTCTTATGCAGCGTACGTTACGCGAGTGTGAAGACTCGAGGCTGATATGGTGTAGTGGTCACTACGCACCGATATACACTAGAGGTGTGATCTGCATTCAGGTGAGCAAGATTACTTGATACTTGTGGTATCCGAAGTAATCTGACTTGTTCTGGATGCTAGAGTCAATTGAGATTCCTCTTCAAAAAGGCAGTGAGGGTAGACATTTTGACAGTATGGTGGCTGGCTGATGGTGTCCGCAGAAATAAAAGAGCTTGCCAATTAATTCAACACATGTCCTTGATGCGTCATCGGTGTGCGCCGCCACCTGTTTATTTAGACTGTGGTGCAGACGTTCGCACAGCAGCGACTTTGAATGAACTAGGCTTGCTATACTGCCGGATTTTGTAATTTGTCTGAGCTAGTGTTACCATGTCCAAGTTTATCCAGATACATTGACTCAGTGTCCGATCAAGTCTGTATCTCATCACTGGAACGTTTGGTCCAATCACCATTTGTGTGCTTGTGCCTTGTCTCGGCACACACACCCCTGTCCACAAGCCTGCGACGCCATTACAAGGACTGCACACGTTACGACAACTATATGATGGAAACATTCTCATTGAGCATTTGTTTTATGGGAAGTCGTGTACACACGTCACAGCGAATGACATATAATGATTGTCGGTGAAAATTACAAGTCAATAGACAACAAAGCGCACAGCCATTCATAATATTCGTCGCAAGAACGTCTGATTTGAACCAGCCCTTCTCGCATTATGTAACATTCAGCTCCTCAGTGCGACAAGTTGTATGTAATACATTTGTCCAAAGTACGGGCGATTGATGGGCGAACGAAGAAAGACAGGAACTTGTTTGTTAATGCCTGTTGGATGCTTTGTCGACGTGCCCCACACCTCGGGACTTCGTGCCTATTGATTCTCGTCAACTTTATAAGCTGCGCTGCCTCCGCAGCGGAGTTAGAGCATCCTCTATTCACCCTTGGCCCGATGATGTGAGGACTTCTCGAACAAGGTAAGAAGCCTTTTTCGTTTGGCCAGTTGTAGCTCTTAGGCTCCAATTGGAAATTGGGGTGTCGCTACCTTTTGTGAACATTTCAATCTTAGTGAATCGTACGTCCCCCGTCAAAAAGTCAAGTGTCATAACTTACATCCTCATGATATCCTCAGCTTCAATAATCATGAGTTGTGAAACACATCGTATCGCCGTCTTCCGAGCGGTATTCGGATCTAATTCATGAACTCGACTGCACAGTATAGCCAGATATCGCGCAAACGGAGGAAATCCTCGCACGAGTACGGGACCAACTTCCGAACCTTCGGTCATCGTCGACCACTTGGTGGGAAGAACACGACTGGATACTGCACCTCTCCGTGCCCTTCCCTGTCGGCCTCAGGGGGTTGAGTTCCTGTTGAATTTGATCACCCTAAGAGTTGGGAGCTCACTCAATGGCATAACTTTGGTTTTCGACGACGTTCCGCCGCTGGTCAAGGGGAAATTGCAGGAACTCACCAAACTTGCGGAGTGCAAGCTCATTCGACATGGGGTTGTCGTTTTCAACCACAGATCCACCACTATCCGTGGTCCGCACCGCCTTCGGTTCCCAATCATCGACTATTCGCTTTCCTGAAACAGCAAGTTTTTCAGGCGACAAAGCGCTGTCTCGCCAGCACCGCTGAAGCAGGTCATCGATCCGCTAGCCACCAAAAGCCAGAACACGCGGTGGCAACGCACAGCTCTGGATGTCACGCCGGCTCAGATATGGAATCACGGCCACGCGGTGACGGACTATCAGCTATAAACACGATATCGCCGCGCTACCGGGCAGCTAAAATTTTGTACCAAACCGGCCCACGGACGGAGCTTGCACGTATCTGGAAAGTGTAGGTCATGAGAAGACCCAGGAGCATCTTTTTGGGGGATGTCCCCGTGCACAGACAATCTGGACCCGACTAAGCAGTTATTGGGAGAGCACACCTCAACAGCCTACTTACCTACTGGATTAGCTCGAGCCACTGCGCAAACTGCAGCGTACCACGCATCTCGCCGCAAGTTGTTAGCCCCGACCCAGAAGACATAGAACACTTCGTCACAGCCTGAAGGACAATATGGGAGATCACCGTGACCGTCATCATCACAATGCACTGGCAACACCGCGTGGACAGTGTTTTTCACAATGCGAACATCCCGATGCAAGCCAGTAAAGCTTTATTCTGGGGAAGGATTCAGCTCCAGCTGAGGCGCTTCTCAAACGTCCATTGCACGGCGGATACACCCGTACGTGGCGCCCACCTATCTGCATGTTACAACATATTTATATCAGAATCGAGTGGGCAGATCGGCTTTAAAGACGAGCTACCAGCCATAGGCAATGCCTGGACCATCCAGTGTTGCTAGTAAGGTTAATTACCTACCAGAGATGTTGCACTAAGCAATATATAGACAATCTGTTCTCTCTCTTCAATAATAATCATGAGCCAATCAATAATTATTTTGACAATAATTCAAATATTTCTACAATTGTTTTTTAAATTAACATTTCGTAAAGGACCCGCCACGATGCTACGACTCGCTTCGAGACACCAACGGGTGCTTGTGAAGTGGCAGCCGATCATCCACTTTAGCCAGAAGTCTTACATCTCGAAATTTCAAGCGTATACCCATACGGTAAAGTCCAGCGTTGCAAAGGCCTTTATTTCCCGACCCAGGTATTAAAACTCTAACATATCAGCTATTTTTGAAACCCTAAACTCCATTTTCGTAACATATTCTATTGTGAAATGTCACACGTGACGAACGGACGTTCAAGACCGTTCGAAATATCATTGACACATCAAACCTCAACATGGCACCAAGCAGCAAATAACAATGTACTGATTTATTGGAAGTCAGTAGCTCTAGCGACTGGAATTTGTGGAGCTCTTGGGCTGCTGGATGAACCAAAACCAGTGGCTTGTGCTAGCAAGAAAGAAGGTGACGAGGATCCATTAGAACAAGCCAAAAAGATGGTTCAAGAGCTGTCTACCATTGCAACGGCACAATTCACGTCACTATTACCGGAGAATGATTGCTATTTGCATAAGAAAGTGGACGAGTTTTTAGCCTCGGGTAAAGCAGGTCAAATTTCATGGGGTTTCTGCATGGGCACGTGTGCAGGGTTTGCACTAAAAAAAGTGTCGAAATTGGGGGCGGTGACTGTCGGTACTTTTTTCATTATATTGCAATGTGCGAGCTTCTCGGGATATGTGAACGTGAACTATAAGAAATTGAAGCGGGACGTGAAGGGTTATCTTGACATTGATCAGGTACTAAATGGGGTTGAAAGTGTTTGACGAAAATGGAGGTCTAATTAGTGTTTTTTTGCAGGACGGCGTACTGGATACCAAAGACTTGGACTCTATGTACAAATTGGTTATGGAGGTATTGGAGTTCAGTCTCCCTGCTGGTAGCGGCTTTGCTGCGGGCTTCATACTGGGCTTTCGTTCGGGATGACTTCGGCGAGACTTGCCGATCCTGTGTTGCAATTGACTTGGTGGTGGTGGTGGGTATATTGCTTATCGCGGTGGTCATTCGTGTTTTGATTAACAAAGAACTTTGTATCTTACATGAGTTTGAAGCTAAGGTTCCATTTTATACTCGCTCTTAGCTTGGTGCGAAACAAGAACGAAGGAGCTCTGACAATTGTAGCTTGCATCTCTTGTCTGGATGTATACAGGGCGTGTGAAGGACATCATTGATGCTGAGTATGATACAGTCTTGATGCAGTACCCTTTTTGTTGAAGTCAGCGTCGTCCTGACAACTATTTTAACAGCTGGATCGTCAATCCAATAGTAGTCGAAGGTGAATAGTGATGTGATCAACCCTTTCGTGGTTAAGATCTCGTACATGAGCCAGAGGATGTTGCATACCGGGCCAGGTGCTACCATGTAGCACGTTGATGAAGCAGACGACTTGTCTTTGGGTACTTAAATCACCTTCGCCATAGGTGCATTACACGAACAAATGCAATTTCAAGTAGCGGTTGCCCCGATATACTGGTAGCACTGGATGTGGACAACCGTGTACTCTGTCGTAAACGGCCACTATGACCACAACGGTTAAAATCTCAGCCAGCACACGTGGAGACAGACTAGAACAAATAGGCGCAATATATGTTGTATGATCTGGCTGAGCGGGGGAGATGCAGAATCTCCGAAGGTTTCGTGATCTAAAGACATTTCAAGCAACATACATGCTCTTGTTTGTTAGTACCTGCTTCTTTTTATCCGTTCAGCTAGCCTTTGTGTAATGTTTCAAAGAACTCTCCGAAGACCAAATGTCTCATTGATCCATTTTTCCTTCCAGGATCGAAGCCGCAACAATGGTGTCTAAGAAAAATTTCTTGCGTCTTTAGCAAATGGTCTTCTCGGACAGACTGCTACAAGCTACTGCAACAATAGATCTATCTATTTCTTCATCACAAGTTAGCAAGCTACTTGCTTATCGTCAAGCTACTTTGTCTGTAGCTTCGACAGCAGTACATACGGGTCCGCAATCGAAACGACGTAAGTCAATCGAGGTGTACAGCAGTAATGGATCCATCAATTTTGTGAGCGTATTCGAGATAATGGCAAGTCAATCGATCCATTCTCCTTCCAGGATCGAAGCTGCACAAACTGATAAAATTTTGCCATTGCGATTCATCTCAAAGACTTCTTGTTATTGAACTGTTAGATTTCATCGACGCATTAAAAAAGCCGTCTTCGGCTACTGCTGAAAAGATGCTGTTCGTCCATTTGGTCAGGTACATGCTGTCTAAAGATATTCACTGCTGTCTAAAGATATTCACTGCTGCTTCGATCCATGAGAAAACCGTTTCCGAAGTCACATTTTTTTCTAGCTCAGCCACTGATGCCGATTAGGCTTCAATGTCATCAAAAAGGGAGGGCCCATATTGTTTCATCAACGTTGGATGCAAGAAGACAGCAGTCAATGTACATTTATTGAAGCTGCACAACCGTTCCACAGCGACCAAGATGTACATCACTGGGGATAATTTACGATAACCAGGCTATCTACGAATAAGCCGTGGCCAGAAGCTTCGTCTTTTGACGCTAAATCGCGATTTTGAGATATGCTGCCGGTCTGGTGAATCTTCCTTCCTTACAACACACTTCGTTGAAGAAGTGGGATAAAGCAGCAGCGATACCATTCTTGCAAATGGCGTGATACCGACTTCATAGCTTTTGCCGTCCAAGTCAACGTCATGTCTGCTACGATAGACAGCATCTTCTGCCACATTTAGATCGGTCACAAACCTTGCAGTATGTTGTCGGGGGAAATATACTTCACACCCCACTACGTCTTCCGCATAAGCAAATGTAAACCCGATCGTGGGGCCTTCGCAAAGCTTACATCGGTCCATGTACGTAAGCTAAAGGACCAAACCTTGGATATGGCATACGTCGTAACGTCGTAACGTCAAACATCGTCTCATACGCCATGCCTCAGTGTGCCCTTGTTGTGCACACATTTTTGACATATGCAGCATGTAACGGGGTTACACGACGGTTGTAGCGTCTTTCCGAGAGTTTACGCTTAAACTCTCCTTTCTATTGCATATAATGCATTATTATACTTCTCTTTAGAGAGGTATTAAGTATAAGCGTTATAATACGGTATTCGGTAATACCGTATCTTATCGATTGGGATTCGATAAATCACTAACGCTGTATTAAGTACATCATACACAGATGTTTAGACGATACGTCGTCCAATAGCAAAGTCTGCATATAATAATTACTATTATAGTAATTAATCTAGTGTAGTGTACTTAGAGTAGGACTATTCATAAAATCTTAAAGCATAAATAAAATCAGTTCTCCTTTTGAGTTTAAGATCGCAAGTCGTTCTGACTTGTTCTCTTGTGCACTTCGTGCGTTGGTTCTCTGAACCCCTAAGCTTCTAGCTTGTTCTTGCACTCTGTGCGTTGGTTCTCTGAACCTTAAGCATATTGCTTGATTGACTAAAAGTCTCTTTCCTAGTTCCTTAGAACAGGGTGACTTTAAGTCGTTTAATTAGTTCCTTAAAACTAAGTGGCTTTTAGCCTTCACTCTATTTAGTTCTCTAGAACTAAGAGGCTTCCAGCCGAAAGTCTTCCTCTGGCTAAAGAGCTGTATAGCTCCGCTACACTTGGTAGCACTAGTAGTCAATCCTACACCTGAGTCCTTAAAGACTGACCCTCTGTGAGAATGGAAAATCAAAATCACCTCTCTGAGGCACAACGACTCGCCTTAGATAAACTATCTGCGTTCGTCGGGCCTGATCAAATCGAGGCCCTTTTGGCCCAAGGACCCGAGGTTCTAAATGCTCGCCTTGAGGCCTTTATGCGTTATGAGGCAACGCTCCTCGGGCAGGTCCATGACCAGGCAGCGTCAGCTGCGCCTACACAGTACATTCCAGTACCTGTGACCGATGCAGAGCCAAAGGCTCGCCCACTTGTTTTAAATGTAAAGACCTTCGAGGGGAAGGAGGGAGAGAACCTCCTCCTCTGGATCCGAGAAGTTGAAATGGCAATGGATGCCGCCATGCTTGCATCCGATAAGCAACGAGTTGGCTTGGCCATTTCTAAGCTCGGTGGAAGAGCTAGAGAGTGGGCTCTAACGAGCGGTGCCTCTGTAAATGCCGCATTTCCCACATGGGAAATGCTTAAAAAGCAATTAACTTGTGTGTTTGCACCGCCTAATCAGGCTTATCGTGTGCGCTCACGCTTCCTAGCTACCCGACAGGGTAAGAAAGAATTGTCGGACTATGTCCAAGAGTTGAGAACTCTCATTGCTGCTATGCAGCAGGACCCACTGGCAGAGGAAGTCCGAGTAACCATTTTTATGGAAGGACTTCGCACTGGGGTCGCCAGGACGGAAGTTTTCCGTGTCCAGCCTTCAACTTTTGAGGAGGCAGTAAGCGTAGCGTTTAACGCTGAATTTAATTTTAAATCTGCTCGATATGGTCTGCCCTGGTATCAATCAAATACCCCTAATAGGGCGGAACCCATGGATCTCAGCCATGCTGAAGAAGCTGAGCTTCAAGCTGCTGAGCAACAAGGTAACATCCGTAGATGTTATATGTGCGGAAGCACTAGGCATCTCCGCCCTAGCTGTCCGTTGCGAAAGCAACGTTCAAATCGGCAAAGCCGAAACCCTGCTCCTAGCCAAAAGGCGAGCACCGCAGGGGAAAACGTCAACTCCCAGTAGGCGCGGGGCGCCCTACTGGGAAAGAACTAAGTTCTGTTGAATCTTTAGGAGGTAAAGGTAAACAGGGCTTAGCCCCAGGTGGTTCTGTGGATGCTCCCATAGAGCAAAATTACAAGCCAGGCTTGTTGGTTGTGTCGGCAACCGTTAAGGGTTTTGAGAAACCATGGTCAATTTTAATTGACTCAGGGGCGTCAGGGAATTATGTCCGACGTCGCTCCCTTGAGGGGAGTCAGCTGTATGCTGAGGCGCTAGAAGCGCAAGAGGGTGACAGTATAACCGTACGTCTCGCGACCGGTGTACGTGTCACCGTTCCTAAAGTTCCGTTGAACTTAGGTGTGAAGTTCTTAGACTTCAATAGCGTTGAACGCTGTCTTGTCCTAGATTTGGACTCGAGATATGATCTCATTCTCGGTATGGCCTGGCTGGAACGCCATGAGCCGTGGATCGATTGGAGATCCAAAACTTTAGGCGCAACGCGCAATGTTCCTAGCGAAGCTTTGGAGAGTCATGAACCCACCTTCGCTAGAAAACAAAAGTGCTATTGGCGCGAGCCATTAACTGATTCAGTTAGTGTGCTGGACATTGGAGTGTCTGAGTTGATAAACTCCGATGTCAACAATAATAGTGTCGAGCAGAGCTCAATGACACTTAGTGGAACGGCACGTACTCCGTTGAGTGATACTCAAAGTAATATTGAGACACTGGATGTCGGTAATGACATCGGCTCTCGTATAGAGCAAGTTAAGGTCGATGACCTTGTTAGTAATATTGGCTGTAAATGCGATTTACTGGATGTCGGTAATGACATCGCTCTCGTATAGAGCAAGTGAAGGTCGATGACCTTGTTAGTGATATTGGCTGTAAATGCGATTCACTGGATGTCGATAATGACATCGGCTCTCGTATAGAGCAAGTGAAGGTCGATGACCTTGTTAGTGAAGTCACTGGTACTAGTGACCCACTGGGTGTCGGTAATGACATCGGCCCTCGCATAGGGCAAGTAAACGACAAGGGGTCTGTTGACCTTGGGGATGATAATATCCCAAGTACTTTGAAGAGTACGGTCTCGTCAATGAGACGGCAGCGTCGCCAGATGGCGGCTGCGAGACGCAAAGCGTCTGTTTTATCGCATAGTAATGTCAATGACCAGTTGTACACCCTGGTCAACGGAGTGACAGGTGATGTAGATGGTGAGGTTGACCTTGAGGCCCTCCCATCATTAAATGCTCTTTTAGAGCTAGACGAAATGTCTGTGGATG